AAATGACTCTCTTGAAAATTAACAAGTGAATTATGACTTCAACAGAGAACATGTGGAATGTAGCCTTTGAATCACCTCTTTAAAATCCCCTTGTTCCTACTGAYGGGCACAATCACAGCCTTTGGAACAGGAGTTCCTGTGTTTCTCCTTTGCTAGGAAAGCAATAAACCACCTTTTTCTCAAAACCATGTCCTTGCTATTGAATTGGCACTGGGGACAAGAACTGAGATTTCAGCAACAGGGAATGAATGGTGTTTTTAAAAGGTAGAAGGATGTCACAGAAAGTGACATTAAGAATTCTGGGTATGAGGGTCAGCAGTTTCCTCAGGAATGGCTATGTGTGTGGGGGGGGTCATGTGTAGTTGGGAGAGGCCTTTACAGGCCTCTTCTCACAACAGAACAATAAGAGGCATTAGCAGGAACAAGTTTGAAATTGCTTAAATGGATCCAGGATGGGTGGCTTTGTAGTTTGGCTGTGATAAGAGTGATCAGAATCACCTTAAAAATGGCCCTTCCATTTTTTTGCATGGGGTCTATAGGTTGGGAAGGGGAGAGGTAACCTAAATCCCCTATGGAAATAGGAGGGGCCCCTGTAGATTGTGCCTGTGGAAGATGAGTGTGGTCATATTTCCAGAGGACACCCCTGATGTGAGCTAGGAGGGATTTTAGGACATCAGGGGGAATGATAGGTGATTGGGGTTGAATGGGTAGGGGAAGAGGGGTCTTCCATAAATAAATTCAAAGGGGCTGATCATATGAGGGTTTGGGGGCAGTGTTTGGATCCAGAGAAGGACCATAGAGAGGAGGTTAATCTATTCTAAGTGAAATTATCTATAGATAATTTGGTTAAGGTTTCCTTTTTCTATTTAAAATTTAGCCAAGTCTTAGGTAATAGAGGAAGCAAATTCAGGGCCAYTATTGGACTGGAACGAAGCAGGTAACCCAAAGTGTGGAATTATTTCTCAGGAAATTACTTTTGGAATGGTAGAAGCCCTCTTATCATTAGCTGGAAAGGTGTCTACTAAGACTTGGAGATATTTGATTTTTCTTACAGGAAGCATGTGGATGAAGTCAAGTTTCCAGTCCATGGTAGGAAGGACTCCCCTAGCTTAATGTGTGGGAAATGGGGGTGGTCTCACATTGGAGTTGGGGTTAGCCTTGAGACAAGTGGTGCAGAATTGAGAAATTTACTAGAGATACTGTAAATCTGAAGAGGACAGGTTTAATAGATTCTTTATGAATAATTGGAGGGAGTGAATATCAGGGTGGAATAAACTGTGTAGGTAAGATAACAGGGCTTTAATTTCATCAGGGAGAAGCTGGAGTTTGTTTTTGTTTTGGGGGGGTTCTGGGGATTGTATTCATAGGCTCTCAACCACTGAGCCATATCACCAACCCTATTCTGTATTTTATTTAGAGACAGAGTCTCACTGAATTGGTTAGCACCTTGCTTTTGTTGAGGCTGGCTTTGAACTCTTGATCCTACTACTTCAGCCTCTCAAGCTGCTGGAATTACAGATCTGTGCTACCATGCCCAGCTGAAGAAGGAGTTTTATGAGGATAGAATATAAGACTTGTGATGATTGAGTGTGGTGGTGAGAGAGAGTAGCCTGCTTCACTAGCCAGTCTGCTCTAAGTACAAGAGTCTTGTGTTTGAATCTGAAGGGCTGAAGATGTCCAGCCCCTCTACTCTCTTGAAAAATGAAAATCCAGAGCTCCTTTTCAGCCCATGGCCCCACACTGAGGAGAAATTTCTGGGAGGAACAATAGACACAAAGGATAAACCTACAGGTGGGAAACAGCCAGAAAATCTTAGAAAGCAAGCCACCATGTTTTGGAATACTATAAGAAGAGGAGGAAGAACAAGAAGAAGGAAACCAGAAGAATAATGGAGGGGGTGGGAGAAGGAAAGAAAAAGGCAGAGGGAGAAGAGGAAGACGTTATTGTTCCATTACACTAGGAACTTTATCTTCAATTATACTTTTACAAAGAAAATGAAATTCACATAAAAATGCATGGCAAGAAAAGATGGAAACCAAATCCCACATAAAGGTATTCTAAGAAAAAGGAGAATAGCATCCTGTCAGACAATGAAACAGATCAGAAAAGAACCCAGCAAGCAGATCAGATGGTAACCCACTTTTTCAAAACTAGCTGAAAGACATTAGGAAAAACAATGCAAAATGTGACGGAACATGAGAGGAGAATGGGGAATTATATCATGGATACAGACTTTTGTTTGGGATGGTGAAAAGTTTTGGATTTGGATAGTGAATAATGCTTGAACAACATTGTGCATCTACTTAATGCTGTAGAGTTATCCACATAAAAATGGTTGAAATGTTGAGTTTTATGTTTCATAATAAAAAAGAACAACATAAATGAAAATTAGATGAGATGGTAGAAATCAAATGGAGACTAAAAGGGAACACAGAGTGAACGAACATAATAGATAATAATGCCTATAAAGAAAGAAGTTTTTAAAAATCAATAAGATGATAAAAATTATTCCAGAGAAATTGTAAATATAAAAGGCAAAAAGCTAGGCAAATTCTAAAAATAATGATGCAAATACATATAGGAATTTAGTATGCCACAAAAGTGACATTTCAAATTAGTAGGCAGATCATCCAATAAATTTGATACATACATTTKGGGGTTAAGCAAATAATTTCTCTGGAAGGATCGAAAAAGTGGGAAAAGCAGATGTCAGTGTAGGAAGAGTGGGAAATGATGGTGGAAAATTTGAGAGAATGGGTGAATTTCCATTAAGTACTCTTTTGTATCTTTTTAATTGTTCTATCATGTGAATATAATACTTCCAAATGCCAGAATTCAAATCCCAGATTCCCAATTAATTGCTAGCTCTTGATCTTGAGTGATATTATCTCTTTAAGTGTGAAGGGAGGAATAATTTTGAGGCAAAAACTTACAATAAATGTAAATTACTACTGAAAATAAGCCAATGTCCACCAGCAATATATGGATAAACAAATGTGGTATATCCACACAATGTAATAATAGGCAATCTTAAAAAGGGATGGAGGACTCACACTTACAACATTGAGAACAGTCTTGAAAACAGTCTTCCAAGTAAAAGAAGCCAAATATAAAAAGTTACTTATTGTATGATTCCTTTCATATGAAATGTCCAGRAAAGGCAAAAACAGAGAGATCAATGGTTGCCTGGGGCTAAGGGGCAGAGGCAATGGGAATGACTTCTAACAGAGGTTTTGGGTGGGGGGGAATTATACAAATGTTACGAATTAGAAAGTGGTGAGATTTCAACACCTCATGAAAGTACTAATTGCTGCAGAATTGCACACTTTTAAATGATATATTTCTATCTCAAGAAATAATCTTAAAATGTAAAGAACAAATCTCCATGGCRTTGATCCGCTGCCTCAATCATCTTACCTCGCTCCATTCCCTTCCTATCCTCCCCCACTGTCCTGACGCTCTCCGGGGGCAGCTGTGCCCTAGAACTGTCACCTCACAGAGACTGCGCACTTTGCTGCACTGTTGGGCTGCTGAGTTCTGAGGCTGTTAGAGGGCCGTCCCCTGTGGACGCGCACTCTCGGCTCGCGTTGGATGGGATGGACGCCAAAAACTGATTTTTCTCATGAATTTCAGTTGGTGGCAGTGGCCCCTGAGGCGGCACGAGCCTGAATCAATGGAGAAGCCCACAAGCCCTTCAGTTTAGTATTTATCTCCCTTTTAAAGTGTGATCTGTCTCATCTACAGGATGCTGTGCTCTGAAAGCCAGGTTGGCTGCCTGTGGGCACTTGCAAACATTGAGGACTTGAGGCCACAGGCCCCAGATTGAGGCCTTGCTTCTCTGCATACAGTTTGATCCCTGAGCAATAGATCATTAGTAAAGTGGCAGAGTGATGCTGGCCTTGTGTGTGAATGCTAATTGAAGTAGTGCATCTCTGCTGCCCTGGTGCATGGGTATTGAGTCAATGGTGATTTATTCCAGGCCATGTTCTGGGTGGGCCTCATGCTGCTGAGTTCACTTGGCCAAGTTCCAGTTATCAGCTTCCCTCAGGGTAACTGAGAACCCTGTAACACCCCTGGTAGATTCCCCGTGTTTTGTATTCACCTTTCCCAGCTAGGATCTTAAGTGACACAAACTTGCTGGAGATATGCCCTGAATTTTATTTTGTAAGATTCCTTTCAGGTAGGTCATAAGACCTAGGCCATTCTCCACGAGAGTTTTTTGATTTTTGCATTTCTTCTGGTCAACCTGAACCTATCTTCTGCCATTTTCAACTTATTTCAGATTTTATGCTTCTAACCCTAAACTCAAACTTTGTATCTTCTGCCATTTGACCCATTCCTGATTCTTCTTATAAATTTGTTCTTTTGGCCCTTCCTAGTACTGGATCATACTCTTTCCTCTTTCTTCACTTCCTGTGTTTCATGCCTGTTATATCCTGTCCAACTTTGAGTTCCTTTCTTCTCATGCAGGCTTTGATCCCCACCTCTACCAAAGAACACTCCATTTAACAGCAATTCAAAGCTCAAAAGTCCTCTTTATTATTTATCTATTAATCAGTTCCATTATATATCATTATTCAATTTTGTTGTTTTAAAAATATATCAATGAATAAATTTGTATCTATGTGTATACATATATGGAAAATTATTTGACATTCAAATGGTACCAGCAGAAAGACTCTATATTATGTATCAATCAATTATACAAATTTTTATTCAATTTTATTATATTTTGAAACTATACCAGAATGAAATATTGGTTTCTATCTATATATGTCTATATGTGAAACACTATTTGGTACACAAGTGGGTACCACAAGGCCTCTTTATTATCCATCAATTCTCAGTGGTACCATAAGTCTTCTTTATTACTTACATATTAGTCAATTTATTACATTTGTTTAATTCCATTAAAATTTGAAAGCATATGAGCATAAATAAATTTGTATCTATCTATCTGCTCTTTGGTCCCTAAGTGGCACCATCAATCTTAGCAGCTTTTACATTGTGTAACCATAGTAACGAGCAATTTCCATATCTCTTTCCCTCTCGATGAAAAACTGCACTCTCCCCAAAGCAGTGTACTTGGCAGCATTCTCACGCTCTTGTTGAGCCTTCTTCTTCATGGCTTCCCGCTCTGGCCTCTGCTCTTCCGTGATGGGAGTTGATATTACTTGCCCAGGAACATTGGGTTTCCTCCATGGAATTGGTTGTAAGGCAAAGTCTTGGAGWAGATATTGGTTTTGAGGCTTGGGCGGTTGTGACTGGGGCTTGGTCAAAATAGTGGAAATAGGGTGCCACTGGAGAGAGGTGCAAGATGATGTTTTGTAGGGTGCAGGCCTAGAAGCAGCAGACCGAGGGGCACTAGGCTGGGTAGAAGTGGTCAAACCAGACTGGGTTGCACTGGTTAAAATTGGCTGAGCTGGCTTGGCAGGACACATCCAAGATGGGTTGGCAATAGCTGGTTGGGATTGGTTGACTGCCATGGGTTGAGCTGAGCTAGCAGGGCCAGGCTGGGCAGGGTAAGCCCCAGTGGGTCTCCGATTGATTACTGGTCGAGGTGGAGGTTTCTCCAGGGTCAGAAAAGGCAAAGGTACCAATTTAACCTTCCCAGGTGGTGGAGGCTCATAAATGGATGGAGCAGGACCCTCCCTTTCAGCACTGATATCTGGGTTCTGGGCTTTGACTTGTGATTTCTCAGGACCCTTAACTGCAAGCCATGGTTTCATAGCTGGGCATGGACGGGGGTCTTGGGTACTGCCTGAGTTTCCTGGGGCCCGGGAGGAAGAGAGCCCAGTTTTCTTATCATTCTTCTTCCCCAGTGCATGGAAAACCTGCACTGACTCCAGCATGTGCATGCCAAGACAGCTCCGAGGCTTTTTAAAGGTCTCTTGGCAAAGCTCAGGTTGGTTCCTCTTCCGTTTCATCTTGGGCACAGTTGGCTTCTCTTCCGTCTTGACTTTATTGCCTTGCTGCTTCCTCTCCTTGGCTTTCCTGGAGTTGTTTTCTCTGGTCCTCTTGGTCTTTTCCTGCCCATGGCCCTTAGCCTTGCTGTTTCTGCTGGATGCAGCTTTCTGAGGTTTGCTGTTAGAGTGCTCAGGGGCCCCAATACTGTCTGCATCCCTGTGAGCACCTTCTCCTCCTAATGCACATTCCAGGTCCCTTGGCTGCATTTTGGCCTGAGGAGTTCCATCAGGAGACTCTGAGGCTTTATTTTTGTTGTTATTCACTGGATCACTAGGACTCTTTATGACACTTGTGAATTCCTGCCCCTGATTCACCATGATGGCTCTGGTGTCATTGGATTTTGATGTTGTGGGACTTTCAGGTTGGTCAAAGTCTTTTAAGGAACTGAAAAGCTCAGGAAGGTGAATATCCTCCACCAGTGCAGTGAGGTCTGCAAAACCACTACTAAATTCAATCCCATTTTCAAGTGTGCCTTGGTCCTCAAGACTCAGGCTGTTGTTTCCCAGATGGATATTTTCAGAATGTGGCTTCTCCTCTTGGTCCAGAGGACCAATGGAGGCCAGAAGCTGGTGGATTTCAGGGATGTCTAAAGGGAGTAGTGGAGGATCCTGGTTCTCCATGGCAATCTGGTAGGCATCCAGCGGCTCTGAGAGCATGGTTTTAATCTCGCACATATTCTTAATCTCTGTTTGTTCCTGGATTTGATTTGGAGGCAATGCCAAGAAATCAGAAGAACTCTGGACTGGAGTTATTATGGAAATGTCCCCAAGTGCAGTTGGTGGGTTCCTCTCAAGTATTTGGATATTTCTGCTACTGCAGGAGTTGGGGAATTCTGGAGGTCGTGGAAGACAAAATGTCTGACTTGGAGGTTGCAATCCCAAGGAAGCCTCCATCCCTAGGGAAGTTTCCATCACTGCAAAGGAAGGAATCAAGGAAGATGGTAAGTTGGATGCTCCCCCAGCCCAGCAACACACTAATGAGGGAATCTGCCAACTGTGGATAAGGCATTTCTATTATCACTTTTTAAGGACCATGAACAGGAGGTACCTGTTAGTTACAGGTAATCACTTGATGTCATAGTTTTGGGCTGGCACATCTTCATGGCAACATGGCTCACTGGTAGAGCACTTGACTACTCTGTGGGAGATGCACAAAAACTGTTTTATGAAGTCTCTCTTGCTCATATAGGAGCCTCTCAATTCTCTCCACACTCTGCGGAGTGTAAGAACACTTAACACCATGAACTAGGAGAGGGTGGAGCTGTTGCTCATGAAATATATGTGAAAAGATAGGGTTTTAGACCTCCTTCTTGGGCAGCTTCTCAGAATACAAAGTTTAGGTCCTGGAGTAAATTAAGGAACAGTTAATCTCTCAGTACCATGGTAAGTTTTGAAGTATCTTCCTAGGAGACCAAAGTAAAATGAGGGAAATAAATTTATAATGTTGTGGTGTAGGGGGACCAATCTGCCAATGCAGTGAAAAGTAGCCTCCATAAGTATGCTCCTGGAGGTCTCCTAAATGCAGGCATTTTCATCTTATGGACACTGAGATTGGGAGTGCTGAACAAGGATAGTAGTTAAAATCTCAGGACTTAAATTCTAAGGATCTGTGAACCCACAGCTACCAGCTATAGATTTGACCCTCCTTTTGAATGCTGTTCTTATGCCTCCCACTTTTTGCTGTTTGTACTCACCTTGAAAATTTGTTTCTGTGATAGGTTGAGTAGACACAGAGTAGTAGATCCCATGGGTAGAGACTGATGGTAGGACATTTGTGGGCTGAACCTYCTTCAGCACTGTCACCATTTCTGGTTGAGGGGCAGCAGCACTACTTCCTGCATATGGCACAGAGCCATAGGATTGCAGGCAGGGGCCATGWTCTCCAGAGAGCAGAGTCCCCAGAGTGTTTTGATCATAGTAGTAGACCTGGCTTCCTTCTTGGTAGGGAAGTGACAGGCTATGACCCCTATTTGGATTCTGAGATGGTGCTGCCTGGACAAGCCTGGCTGACAGTGTTGGATACACAGGGACCATGACATTGGCATCAGAAGTTTTGTCATATTGGGCTGTCATTGACCTGGAAGAACCTGCAGTGTTTTGGTCAATGACAGTCAGAGTAAAGTCCCCAAGTGAAGATGAGCTCTTTTCAGCATTTCCTGTGATATCCCACTCAAAAATACTTGGATAGGAGGCAGATGCCATGGGAATCTGGTTCTGGCCAGTAACCCCAGACACCATGGCTGTGCTAGCATGTTGATAAAGGTAGGCACTGCCCATGAGTGGCTGGAAGGAGGTGCCACAGGTTGAGGGCAGTAACCATGCTGAAGTGGCAGCTGGAGCAGAGGCTCTGGAGAAGTTGCAGACACTTCCTGTCAGGGAAGCTGCATTGGTCAYCACAGGAAGAGAGAGCTGCAGAGAATCAGCATTTCCATGTAAAGAAGAATTTTGGAAATTTTCTGTAGGAAGAAGAGGGTGGTGAAAATATTGATGAGACAGGCAGATTCTTACAATATTTAAGGAACAGTATTATCTGAATGTTGTATCAGTCAAGAAGCCTCTAATACTAATAATCATATATGTACCCCAAATCAAACCATTTTGGATGGCTGCAAGTGTTGGAGCAGTTTGGTACTCTTGTGATCAATTACCTTTTCTCTCATATTGGGCTCAGAAATCCCAAGTGGTCTGCCTCACACATTGGTCCCTAAAAGCATCCTTCTCCCTATCCTTTCTTTCCTTTGAGCCTGCACTAGTATARACTCTTGTATTTTTCCTTAGAACTGAAGTATTTTAGAATTTATAGAACATCTAACATTATCAGTTTGCTAGTGATTAAACCAAGGGTCAGAGAAGATTGACTTGCTCAAAATCAACACCATGTTTCAGAAACTTACTCCTTTGCCAGGACTCTGTGCTCCAAACAAAAAACCAGAAGTCATGTGAAATAGAATTTTATTTTTCCTGTTTATAGAAAACAATACTTGTCTCACCACTGTTATCTTCAGAGTCTCATTTTGCTTGTGCAGGTCACATTAAATTTCCTAGAGTTCACTGTTAACATCCAAATGGTAAATTTAAAGTGTCATTCTTTATCCTTTTCAAGCCTGGCTTCTGAGTTTAAGTTTCTCAACAACAACAACAAAAAAAAAAGTTATTTGTGCTTTCTGAGCTTCAGGTTACTCATCTGTAAGATGACTACAAAAATATTAACAGTGATAATTCTTCTGTGAATAAGAGTGACACTACATAAGATTCACACAGAGGAAGATATAGTAAGTTCTGGAGAGATAGAAATGAAAATCAACATAGAACTAAAAAGAATAACTAGATTCTAATGAACATTTGGATATATAGCAAACATCAAAGCATAGCAAATTTACTAACAAATGAAATTCTGTTATCATGCATTGCAATAGTATGAAAATGAGTCTACTTTATTTTAGTGAATACTGTTAACCAAAACACTGCCCACAATTAAAGGTGATTTTAAATGAATTTCTAACCAGTACATATTCACAAATAAACTATCTCATCAAAAAGTGTGTAATAAGCAGCAAAATTCAATAAAAGTGAACATATAGGTAGCCACAATTTATGTAGATAAATATTTCAATAAAAAGAATATAAAGGGCTGGTTTTGTGGCTCAGTGATAGAGCACTTGCCTAACATTCATGAGGCAGTGAGTTTGATCATCAGCACCATATGAAAATAAAGATATTGGGTCCACCTAGAACTAAAAAATAAATATTAAAAAAGGGTTATAAAGGCAGATGCAGTGGCACACACCTGAAATCTCTACTACTCAGGAGGCTGAGGCAGTAGGATCTTAAATTTGAGGATAGCTGTGGCAATTTAGGAGACTATCAAAATAAAATGTTAAAAGGACTAGGATATGTAGCTCACTGGTAAAGTGTCTCTATGTTCAATCCCTGGTACTTCAAAAAACAAAGCCAGAATCAACCCTGCCATGTTCAAAAGCAAAAAATCCACTATGAAGTTAGGTATCATGGGGTGGGCCTCTGGTCCCATCCCTGAGGAGATTGAGGCAGTGGGTTTGCTGGAGCCCAGGAATTTAAAGCCACTGTGGACAATGTAGCAAGATCCTATCTCAGAAACAAACAAAATAATGTGCTGGGGATATAACTTATGGTAGCATGTTTGCCTAGCATGTATGAGACCCTGCTTTCAATCCAATCCTAGCACTGGAAAGAAAAAAAAAAGGAAGGAAGGAAGGAAGGAAATTCTTACAAATTAGAGAACAAAAGAAGAAATGTAAAATAATTTCATCACTGTGCTTCTTAACCAGATCAAGTAAAAGATATTAATCCCATTAGGTACATATTTCAATTTATATAAAAACATCTTTTGATAAAAATGTCAGTTATCAAAAAAAACAGAAAAAAAACATTTTAAAAATCATAAAAGTTATATTTATTTATTCTGCAAACCTAGTTTGTAATCATCTTTAATAGGAAAATGTTGTCAAAGTCTGATAAAACTATTACCACTGGAGTACAATAATACAATTAAAACAATTTTTTTCATGTTTATTGTTGCTGGGGATTGAACCCAAGGCTTCCCACATGTGAAGCATGCACTCTGCCATTGAGCTACACTCCCAGCCCCAAATAATTCTTTGAAATGTAGAAAAACCCCAAAGCCTTCAAAAAATTATCTTTGATGAACATGGAAGACTTTCTATTCTTACATAAGTCTTTCTTTTGGTTCTTAGGTTTAAAAACCATTAATGACTATTTGTATAAACTCTGTTTTAGAATGAAACTATTATAAAGACAAAAAAACAGTCTTCTGCTTAAAGACCTATCATACAAAGGAATGTGTCCTTCTGATGCAGATTAGGGCACATCATTTTTTCAAAATCCATGTAGTTTAAAAAATCAGAATAAAATAGGACATGAAAGTTGCTGTTTCCCCAGCCCTGTCAATAAGGACTTTAATTAGCATGTTTATAGGAAGAATCATTTCTAAAACTTACTTCTAAAATGTTCTTATTCAAACTGTCAAGGTCATCTGTGTTCAATTAGGCCTTTAAAAAAAAAAAAAGCCCAAACAAACAAAAGAATTTTCTGATAAACTGCTTTCCCCAGTTATACCCTAATTCTAGCCTTAGTTTCCTTGCTAGTCCATTAATTTAAACATTTTCCAAACCAGCCTATTTTTTTCCAGCACTGGGAAGATTTCACTCTATGCTCTCTGCATTGATTTAAAATCTTTGGTTCTCCTCCTCCTTCCATTCCAACCAACCTCTTTTTTCTTGAGACCATCTCTATGCTCTTCATCTCTTTTATACTCACATTTCTTTTCCATATTGTTATATTCCCCGCCCCGCCCCCTGCCACACACACACCAAGTACCTGTTGCCCTGTGCTTCAACAGCCACAAACTTGCTTCCCCGAGAACATCTGCCTTCTTACAGCCCTGTCCTCCTGCTCCCCTCTCCCTATTTCTCTTTTCATCTAGTTTAAACAGGAAACTCTGAAATATGTGAATGCCCCTTTTATGAACAGCACTAAATTTGAAATACTGAAGTGGAAATCTTAGTGGAGGGAGACTGTTATAGAGGAAAACTCTTGGTACTTGATGCTAGTTTTCTACCCCACCTAGGATTTCTCTTTCTGTTCAAACAAACATACCCCCAAAATCTTATGTCATTCTCCATACACACGCCCCTTAAGATTCAATATTAGAAAAGAAAAGGACCAGAGCATGGGCAGTGTGTTTATCCTCCTGTAGCAGATGAGGAAACAGATTTTGTGAGAGAGTAAAAGATGGTCCAGTCCCTACCTAGTACCTGTCAAAGTCAAAATGAAATTCGATGTCCAGATTTCTAGTTCCATCCTCTCCCCTATTATTCCAAGCTCTTGTGATTCCATTAGTAAATTTAAGCAGGTAAAAGTCAATGAAAAACTTTAAAACCTTACCTGACATAGTTAAGAGGTCACATCAATCGCAGATACAAAGGATGAGGAGACCATCCCAGAGGATGTGTGGGTGGCTGAGGCTAGAGAATGCATGTTTCCCAGATCCTCCTGCCACACTAATGTTGCTTACTGGTCACTGGTCTCTTGAAATGATCCAAATTTGTTTACAACTGCATGGAAACCCTAAGATTCTACTAGGTGGCAATAGGTTTGGTGGGAGGATGATGTCACAAAACTGATAGTTTAAAGGTACGAGGTAGCCAATAGGGAGGTCAGATTCCCAACGAGAAGGTGGGATTGGGTAGAGAAAATGACAAGAGTTGGTTGGGTAGAGAAAGTAACAAGAGAGTTATAATAGAACTAAATGGCCCAGCTCTGGGGAGGCTGCAAGAGGGACATGATATGCGCACCTTCCCCAGGTGCTTGTGTTAGGGTTATCATCGCAGTGTTCTTTCTTAATCTTCATTAAAATATTATGAATATGTTATTTATTATGTTACACATTATAATAGGTAATATGTAGTACATAATTATATTTACAGATGCAGTTAATATCCCTGGAGATGGAAGGAAGAGACATGTAGGTTGAGCAAGTATACTTGTTCTGGAACCATAGAAGTTGATCTGATTAGTGAGTGAACTTACTRCAGCTTTGAAGGACGAAAGAAGGGGGTTAAAACACTCTTTTTTCTTTTTTTGAGATATAGATGGATGCAGTACCTTTATTGTATTCATTTATGTGGTGCTGAAGATCAAACCCTGTGCCTCACACATGCTAGGTGAATGCTGTACAACTGAGCCACAACCCCAACCCTAAAGAGTTCTTTCATAACTTAAGGGTAGGGTGAAATTCCTTGAGGGCACCCTCTAAGGAATAATGTGGTCCAAGTTTCTCTTTAGTTTCTTCTTAAATACTATTTTCTTTGGACTAAGCTGGGTCAGGTTGGACTGGTAACTCTCCTGCTCTCCTTCCCCCATCCGTCTTCATTGTAGACATTGTTTCATGGACAAGCCTTGATTCTGCATTTTTTTTTTTAAAGAGAGAGTGAGAGAGGAGAGAGAGAGAGAGAACTTTTTTTATTTATTTTTTAGTTCTCGGCAGACACAACATCCCTGTTGGTATGTGGTGCTGAGGATCGAACCCGGGTCGCACACATGCCAGGCGAGCGCGCTACCRCTTGAGCCACCTCCCCAGCCCGATTCTGCATTCTTAAACTCATTGATATTACTTTCTTTTGACTTCAGAAGCAGGGGTCTTCTTTTCTGTGAACTGATTCTTTGAAAAATGGACTCTGAACAATAGAATTAAATACTAGAGAAGTGGAAGCCCCAGCTGACTGTAAAATTTCCCTCTTCTGGACTTTGATCACAATTCTTTCACCCACAATTTTCTGCAAATAGCTCCTTGTGTCACATAGACATCCTTCCATCGACCTCTTTCATATGTGAGAGGCACTGAGGATTATTTCTCTCTTCTTATGTAAGTGAATCCAATGTGGCARTTACTATAACTTTCTCCCCCCTTGCAAACAGCCATTATAGAATCTTGGGCCTCTCACATTATTTGTCTGCCATACTCGCATGTAAGGCCAGGAAAAATGGAGAGGAGAATGGTTAGAAGAGAACATTAGTAGAATATAGGGAAAGCGAGGGTAAAGAAAAAGAGGATTAATATGGATTTTTTGTGTGTCAAAAAGAAGTCAACACACTTTGATCTTATTTTGTGTTAATAAAATAGACAATTTGGACGGGGGTGGGGGTGGTCCTGGGAATTCAAACCAGGGACACTTTGCCATTGTGTCTAGCCCTTTTTATTTTTTATTTTAAGACAATGTCTCACTAAATTGCTTAGGGCCTTGCTAAGTTGTACAAGCTACTCTTGAACTTCAGATCCTTCTGCCTCAGCCTCCTGAGTTGCTGAGATTACAGGTGTTATGCCACCAAGCCTGTTATTTATGTATATTAATGGAGCTAGCCAGAAAGTGCAGAAACTACCATGAATTCTATACAATGAAGATAAAAATCTTAAATATAGTTTTCTTATTTTGTTTTATGTCATATCATCTTATTTTTGTCATTCATTAGTATATTTGGAGACTATAGAGGGCTCTTAAAAGCTCTGGATTTTCAACTCACTTAATCTTTGTCATATTTTAAAGGAATCCAACACTGTAAGACATATTCCATGTTTTTATACTGATGATTGTTTGTGGTGAAGCATCATGAATTAACTTGACTTGATGGATTTGTAGAGAAAGAAAGGCATGTGGAAAAAGCACTGTGGTAAGTTATACTGTGTACCCAAGAACGAGGTGTGTCTGTGTTCAGCCAAACTTGATCTAGATTGCTTTTGCTTTTGATCCCCTGGAGAGTGCATGTTTCACTAACTTATGTTTTAACTGTGATAAAGTAACTCAGGACTGAGTAGTAATGATATGTATATGAGGACTGAGCTGGATTGGGGGAATAAATCAATGGATTTAATAATTTTCCACAGTCATTAGGTTTTTTAAAAAAAATATTTTTTAGTTGTCAATGGACCTTTATTTAACTTATTTATTTATATGCAGTACTGAGAATTGAACTCAGTGCCTCACACATGCTAAGCAAGGGCTCTATCACTGAGCTACAATCCCAGCCCAGTGGTAAGCCTATAAGGATGTCTGGATTGATCTATTTGGGGACTTCCCTAGAGACAGTGAGTAGAGACTATGTGATTCAGGATGTCAAAAGCCTGTAGGAAGAAAAGCTCTTATGAAGAAAAAATATCATATATAAACATTAATATTGCATTTATAGACATAGTTTCCCCATCTCCTCCAGTGCTTATTATGAAATATGATTTTTGGTGGTTTTGTGTGGAATAATGCTTAGCTCAGAAAGAATTATAGAAGGTTTGGCAGTAAAGATATGGTTTGGACTATGTAAATGTTTTCAAATTTTTTTTCTTTTTAGATCAGTTTCATTCCTCACATAACTTACTTCTATAATATTGGTATGTAATAGGAGACTAAGATTATATACTAAGTAATTGTAAGCCAGATCATTCCCTATGTTCTCATAGATATCAAGAGATTCCATAGCTGCTAAAGATGAAGGTGGTATGTGTAAGGCCAGGAGGAATGTGATGTATTAGTTAGCTTTCTCTTACTGTAACAAAAACCTGAGATAATCAACTTAACTTAAAAAGAGAAAAGGTTTATTTGGTTCACAGTTTTAGATGTTTCAGTCCATAGTCAGTTGTCCCTGTTACTTTGGGGCTTGTGGCAAGGCAACAAATAATGAAAGGGAGTACATGATGGAAAAAGTTGCTTACGTCATGACCTAGATGAAAGGCAGAGAGAAGGGAGGAGAAGAGGAGGTACTGGGTCCTATTATCCTCTTCAAGCCCATGTCCTCAATGTCCAGAAGATCTCCTATTGGCACCCCCACCTTTTCCAGACTGGGGATTGCACACAGGAGCACTCTGAGCTATCACCAGCCCCTCTTTTAAAGTCTTATTTTGAGACAGGTTGTCACTCATGTGCTCAGGGGGCCTGGAACTTGAGATCATTCTGCTTCAGCCTCCTAGGTAGCTGGGATTATAGACATACAACATTGTGCCTGGTTTAGGCCCCACCTCTTAAAGGTTCCACCATTTCCCACTAGTATCAAGCTAGAGACTAAGCCTTGAACACGTGGGCYTGTAGGGACATTCCAGATCAAATTCATAGTGTGTGGTAATATCATTTTTGATAACAATATAATTTTTACATACTAAAATATTCAGTTCCAATATTCAGTTATAATTAGGCAAATGCTGTTTGCCTCTCCTGTTCCTAGGCTTGATAACTATTTTCTCTTCATAATACCATCCATTTAATTCTAGCTTGTAGTCTCAGCATCGTTTTAGCCTCTAAAGCAAATTTTAAGTACAGAAGGAACAACTTAAAGAGATTTGGTCCAACACTCTGGAACTTAGTATTAAGTCCTCCCCTGACCTAAAACCTCGGTTTTTATATTGAGGGCATTGGGACAACCCAATCTCTGTATTTTGTAACAATTGGAATAACTAGGGCTCCTCTTGGTGCAACGTTTGTATACCATCTACCCCTGAGGTCCTTCTATGTTCTTTCTTTAATTTTATTAAAGACTAGAAACCCTCAAGCTTCTATATGGTACCTAAGGCCCTACCAGATACTCTCACATTTTGTTAGTGTCAACTACTTAACTATTGCTCCAAATATCCCTTACTCCTGACTCTATTTTCCACTTCTGTGTACTAGGTATTTATGAAAACATTCTTTTACCCCTTGTTGGAACCACTCTTCTCCAAAGACCTATTCTTTGCCAGTTACTGTACATCCTATACCTCCTGCCCAGGTCTGAATTTTCTCATGTCAACTATAACTGAATTTGTTCTCCCCCTACTTATGTCTTTTTGAAAACTTCAAGTGCAAGACCAACATAGCTATTCTAGTTTCTGAGAAATTTATGTCATGTTTTATATCTTGTAATGTTTATAAACTATTGTACCATTCATGCATTCTAGCCATTGTATACTCATGAGATTTGTTTTCCTATGTTCCAAAAAAGTATTTTATAATTTCATGTCAAGTTCTAATGTGCCTAATTGTACTTTTGCAAATCATGCAATGTTGTCTTTTCTTTTTCCAATTAGCTACTTATTGATATTGACCTAGTTTTAATTTGGGGGAAATTTCAGAATTGTAAATGCTTATGAGTTGAAAATTGGTTGAAATATGACAGTCCCCAAAATGTTAAAGCTAATCTGGTCTTTTCACCCATTCATTCATTCATTCCTTTAATAACTGACTTGTCTGACCACCAGTTTACCCAACTCTAAAATAGTTGTGAAGATTAATAATAGTGCATATAAGGTGATTTAAAAAGTTAGAAACAAAAAAGTAAAAATTATTTTTAAAAACTATTGCTAGCATTGCAGAGCACAGTGGCACACGCCTTTAATCCTAGTTGCTGGGGAGGCTAAGGCAGGAGGATCTCCAGTTCAAAGCCAGCCTCAGCAACTGTGAGACGCTAAGCAACTCGGTGAGACCCTGTCTCTAAATAAAATACAAAATAGGGCTGGAGATTTAGCTCAGTAGTCAAGTGCCCCTGAGTTCAATCTGTGGTATCTCCACCCTGGCAAAAAAACTATTGCTAACATAATTATCTACATTTTAATCTGGAATTCAGTACTTTGTTCTGTCTTCAGACACACTGCTCTTTGCTCTTCTACTTGTAGCTGAATTCACAGTTTTCCTAATAGATACAGTCCCCATGCCTGATAAGGATGTGCAGATATTGCACTTGAGCTCCACTCTTATGTCTCTCAATTTTGTTTTGTTTTGTTTGTGGTATTTGGTAAAATATAAACAAATGTTATCTACTTTTAGCATGATATATGTCGTGTGATAGGAACCCAGTAAAAGTCTATCTATGAATGGGAGTGTATGTTGATGTGATTTTTGGAGGACAGTTAGGCAGTTTCTTTCATAACTTTTAAGTTTGTGTATCCTCCATTCCAGAGTTTACATTTCTAGAAATTTAGATATAGTTGTGTGTGTATGTGTGTATGTATGTATGTATGTATGTGTATGTATATATGAATGTGTATACACACACACACACACACACACACACACATTATTGTGTGCAGCAGAACACCAAAACCAAAACCAAATACCTGAAAACAACCAGAGGTCCATCGATATGGTACTGGCTAAATAAATGATGGTACTTTCATTTATGTTACTTATAATCCATGAAATTCTCTACAGTCATCAAAAAAATTGGATGGATATATGTACAAATGGAGAAAAATCCGTATTCTAGACACATCATAGAGAACGTATCCTATGCTGCTTTTATGTAAGTAGAGGATACACAGATATGTGAAAGTAAATATTTCTATAAGGTACACAAAATGTACATGTAAACACTGGGACACATCTCGAAGAACATCAGGAACTGGGTGCAGAGAGACCTAACTTTTTATTGCAGGTCCTGTACAATTTGAACTCTGAAGTGCTCACAGAAAGTCACAGACCTGTGCTACAGGCCTCCGGCCACGGAGGGCGCAGTCGCTGCCAAAGTCCTGTTTGTCAATCTAGCGACTCAGCAAACCGGCGTGTGACGCCATCACGACAGGCGGTGGCGCAGGCGCAGTGGCGACGCACCGGGCATTCTGTGGGTAGCTCCCGGGCGCGCCTCCGACCCAGCTTTTTGTTCCGGCACCGAGGACGCCACACTGACGGCTTTGACCCGCTTGGCATTGGGTGGACGGCATCTCGGCCCCCAAATGAACCAATGGCATCATGCCCGCAGTGGCTGGGGTCGGGGACGCGACTTTTCTGGTCGTCCCTCAGCAAAGAGGAAGGGCGGAAACCGCATCCCGGAAAGGTAATATGCCCCGGTGCTGGGAATGGCCCTTCCGGCTCTTAGCTTCTGGGCGTGGGATCCGTGTCTTGTGGTCTGAGCCTCTCACTGTCGCTTTTGCGAGCTTGGCCCGTGTGCCAAGCTGGGTTTAGAGACTTTGACCCTGGCTGCGCCACCCGCAGAAGCTGAAAGAAGCTGTAGTGGTCAGTGAATTCGCCCACCCTTTTAAAAGGGAGGCCCTGTCCATTGCTCCTCGGGTCAACTAGTGCTTTGAGGCGGGACTTGGTGTTGGGGACACTCCTTAATCATCCAAATGGAACGCCTCCCTCAGTTCCTCAAGTTGTGTTATTTGTTGGCACAGAAAAAAAAATGACTAATAAGATTTAAATATGAATGAATTCCTCTGTACCTGCATGAGACCTTTCATGAAAAGGTGGTTTGCATTATTTCCAGGAATCACCGAAGGCAAACTGGTGCTTTCTAACAGGTGTCACTTCAGAGATCTTCCTGTATACATCTAAATGGTTAGTTTTGGGGACTTTGTTCGTCTATGCAGTGAAACTGTTTAGTCCTTGAAATCTTCCTCTCCTTCGTTCCAAACTTCATTGAGTCCCTTTCATTTTATCTCCTCAATATCCTTTGAATCTCAATTTTTCTCCTTCAGCATCCTAATGCAGGTTTTACCTGACCTTTTGCTATTGAGTCCAGTAGTGTCCGTATATCTATTCTTTAATTTCTTCCAGCCTATTCTTCCCACAGATCTTTTAAATAGGTCATTGAAAACTTGAAATTGAGCCAGGCACAGTGGTGCATGGCTATAATCCCAGCTTCTTGGGAGACTAAGGCAGGAAGGCAAAGTCTTAAGTTCCAAGACAGGCTCAGCAATTTAGTGAGACCTTGTCTCTTAAAAAAAATGTGGGTGTATAGCTTAGTGGTCAAGTACTCCTGGGTTTAGTCTAAGCACCCAAACCATCTTGAAATTGAAATGGAATGGGAAGGTAGCTCAGAGACATCAGTGTAAAGCATTATTTTAAGAATAAAAACAATCTTCTTACATGCTCTATAAGGCCCTGTATAGTCTGGGATCCTCTCTGCTTCTCCAGCCCCATTTTTTGCCACTCTTGACTTTCTATGCTTCAGCTATATTGAATTAACCATAGTTAATTCTAACTTGTCCTACAGAGGTGAGCTCAAATATTACTTTTGAGGGTTGACTACTAGTATTTTTAAGTGAAGTTCACAGTCCCTTTCTATGTGATGAGTTTTCTCGTCAAACATAGACCTTAAATTCTTTACCAATTGAATTTGATGCTATCAGTTGTATGAAAACTAAAAAATCATGTTTAGTGAAGAATTGAATTTAAATCATTACCCTGTGTTTATATTGATAACACCTTAACATTTGGTACTGGGATTAGGTTTGTCAGGGATACAGAAACTCTGTCATCTAATTTTAGATAATCCTTATTTGTGGAGGTCTTTGTTCTGTTGCCTTGGATCTGTTTTCAAGATGGGGAAATGAGCAGAAGGAATGTATGGATTGTTACCAGGCAGGGATGAATAATTGGCAGGATGCAAAGCAGAGAGAAGGGACATGCTCTGTGCACTGTGAGTGGTTTTCTAGAAGCCTTAATTCTGTACAAGGAGACAAGGCTAACATACAGTTTGGCTAACAAAAAACATATCTACTAGGTGGAAAGACTATCTCCCAGTTGGACAGAGGATGCCTGGGACTCGATTCATTGCTTTCAAAGTTCCTTTGCAAAAGGTAAGCAAAAGTTAATTCAGTATTCTTTCAGAAATCTAAATTCACCACATGGAATCCTGGTTTTTTTTCTTTTTTCAAATTAATATACATAGCTATATAAATATATATGTAAAGACTAGATGAAAATTTATTCAATAAAAATTGTTCATCACAAAGTTATTAAAAATACTTTCCTAGTCATGTACACATCATAAACTTAGGTTCCTCTTTGGGGTAGGGGGTTAAAAGCCCTAGTATCCTCTCTTCTGCAGGCAAGGTGTGCTCTTTTTCTCTCTGATGTCTTCCTAGGCCACATCGCCTGCAGGAAATCAGGTGTTTATGGCTAGCAAAGGAGCATCATGTACTCTGCAGAGGGATGATGTCACCAAACTGTAACATTCTGTGGTGAGGAGCTTCCTTGCTGAGAGATGGTCTTTTAGGAATGTAGCTACTTACAACCATGCTACATTTGGCTCTGCCATCTCCACCCATATTTTTATGAGTTTTACACATTAGAAAATAATGAAACCCTTATTTGTGACTATCTCTGGGACTTATGAGTAACAACTCATGCATCCATATGGTCCACAATGTCACCCAACCAGGGCTCGGGGTTTCGGAGTAGAGCGTTCGTATTCAGGCAGCCCTGACTTCATTGTTCCTGTATCTAGTCACTATATTAGACCACCTTCCTTAATTAGGAAAATTTAAAAGAAAAAAAAAAAAAGCCTGACATTGGTGTCTTAATCTTTGCCAGATTCCTGGCACACCACAATCAAATTGTGATGCCAAACATTCTTTTTTATTTTTTTAAATTGGAAAACTAATTTCATTTATTCATAAATTTAATAATTAATCTTGCTCTATATCTTGTTGTTTGTTGGGATTGGTGAGCTTTCTGTGTTTGTCTTGATCCTAGTGACCTTTACTCAGAATACATTTATTGAGGCCACAGTGCTATTACTGTACTAAAAGGAACCTGTGTCAACTCTTCAGTGATATCTTGGATTTGCATGCTTGAAAATTTTCAAAGTAAATTTTCTTCTTACCTTCAGACCCATGCTATGGAAAGATTATTCTATACATTGCTATAATTTATGAAATTACAGTGATTCATGTTGAATTTGAAGAATTCCCACATGCTGCCAGCATGCACAATTTTTGCAACCTCCTACTTAGAGCCAGAGGTGCTTGGTGGCTTGTCTGTTTACACCTGTGAGGCTGTGTTACAGTGCTTCATACAACATTGTATTTAGAAACATGGCCAGCTATAGCAAAACTGGAAATATGGAGAAAGTTCTTCAGCAATCTCTATCCTTTGAATGAGTCTGTGTAATTCAGCCAAATACTTATTTTCCAAAATAATATTAAGAAGTAGCTTCCACTGTTTTCTACAGTGTCTTGGTGATCATCTTTGCTACCCTCCTCCAGGAGCCAGCCTGCTTCTTCTGAGTTGAGTGATCTCGTTTTAATTTTCCCTGCTCTGCACTAAGCAAGGGAATCCCTAACTGAATCTATAGAATTAAGGGTTCTCCATGAGGTTCTATGTGATAAMTTCTCACTGCTATCTATTGAGAAGTATATATGTTCTAGTTAACTATCAGCCAATAGTATTGTGGCTATCTAATGAAAAAATGTTTCATACCAATTTTTTAATTTGGACTGTTATTTTTTAATAGAGGCTGTATGTAAAAAAAATTATTAAAAYGTTGGTTTTCAACCATATCACACTCTGCTTTCCTTTTTGTAGCAAATGCTTCTTTGGTACCCATAAATAAATTTGCAGATGAATATAATTTACTTCAAAACATATTTTTAAAGAAATCATTATAATGCAATAACTATAAATAATRCTGAATTTATAATTAGGCAATATATATTTCAATATCTAAATTAATGAGCATTATCACAATAGAATATATAAAGAAAGAGGTGCTTACACTAAGAATGTAAGATCCACAAATATAGACTGTGACCGAGGTGGGTTATATTTCCATGGCAGTGAACAACTCAGTAGATTTCCAAACAACACAAAATACAGTCTTCACTTTGTTGATAAGGTGTCCTGAGAAATTCAATGGACATTAAAATTGTGCAAAAAATACTTTATTTGTGAATCAGAGTTAGGTTCTAAAGCTTAGGTAAATAGGAGCAGTCTTTTTTTAAAAAAAAGTAATGTTAATATTGACTAGGATATTTACAAGTCATTAGGATGTGGAACATAAACACATTATATATTGAGTGATCTTTTTTCTTCCTTTGGGTCACTGGAAGAAAGGTTTGTAATTTAGCTTCCAGAAGAGTGGAAACTCTCATTGTATCTCATAATTTGCTACCATGATATGATTTGAATAAATGCATAATAGAGGATTTTGACACAAATTTACTCTCTATTTCATTTTCTCTGACAAGAGTTTTGAAGCGAAACTTGCTCCAGAAGAACGCTTTTCTCCTCTGGATCTTTTTAACAAAATCCGAGAACAAAATGAAGAGCTTGGACTGATTATTGATTTAACATATACCCAGCGCTATTATAAGTCAGAGGTAAATTGAACCTTTAACTGAAAGCAACATTCTTCATTATGATATTAAAATAATTTATAGTAATTCAGTAATAATAGTTTTTATCTTGTGCTTGTGTGAAGTGTAACCTTCTTTCATGAGTAATAATAATTTTAAAAGGAAATCAAATCTTTCTTTAAGTACATGCTTTTAATGCTGTCTCAAAAATGAGATTGAAGACATGAATTAAACTATTTGGTCACCATTTACTGTTTATATTCAAATCCTTTTCATCATCTTCAACAAAAACTCTATAACCATTAAAGAGTAATTCCCTTTTCTCCCACTCTTTCAGCCCCTTGTAACCTCTGATCTACTTTTTGTCTATATAACTTTACCTATTCTTGGCACCTCATACAATTGGAATAATAATATTTGTCCTTCTGTGTCTAGCTCATTTTACTAATTATGTTTTCCAGATTGATCGATTTATAGCATGTATCAGAATCTTATTCCTTTTCATGGCTAAATATTTCATTGTGTTCATATGCTATGTTATGTTTATCCTTCATCTATCTATAGGTACGTGGGTTATTCCTTTGGCTATAGTGAATATCGCTGCTATTAACATTGGTGTAGAAATGTTTGGTTTGAGGTTTTTCTTTTTTTTTGTTTTGTTTTTTGGTACTGTGGATTGAATCTAGAGGGACTTTACCATTGAGCTTTCTCCCCAGCCCATTTTTTTTATTATATATTTTTTAGTTGTAGATGGACACAGTACCTTTATTTTATTTATTTATTTTTGTGTGGTGCTGAGGATCAAACCCAGTGCCTCATACAGGTGAGGCATGTACTCTGCCACTGTGCCACGTGCTCTGTCACTGAGCCACAATCCCAGCCCCTCTCCAGCCCTTTTAAATTTTTATTTTGAGACAGGGTTTCACTAAAGTGCTTAAGGCTTTGCTGGATTGCCAAGGGTAGCGTCAAACTTGTGATCCTCCTGCCTCAGCCTCCTGAGTTGCTGGGAGTATAGGCGTGCGCCACTGTGCTGGGATAGTGTAAAATATTTGTTTGAATCCTTCCTTGCTTTCAGTTCTTTTAGATGTGTAACTAGGAGTAGAATTGCTAGGTCACATGGTAGTTCTGTGTTAACCTTATGAGAAACTGCTGAACTTTTCCATTGTCATTTTCTTGTTTTTAAGCTGTTATCCTAAATGTCAGAAACAGAAAGATGTAATACTTATAGGTGTCTGTTGTATACCCATTAATGCATTCAGCTTTAATATTTATCAACTAATGGCTATCTTGTTTGGTCTGTATCCCTACCTGTTTCACCCCATTCTGTATTATTTCAAAGCAAATCTCTGGTGTCATATAATTTTATCTCTACTTCTTTGGTATGTATATTTAAAATATGAATACTTTTAATTGTTGATATCAATTCTTATTAAAGATATCCCATCAGTGCTCAAACTTGGATTAGCTCCTAAATTTCATAAAATATTGTTACGTTGCAATTGGTTGTWAAGTTTTACTGCCCCCTCCCTGCCTTCAAATTTATATATTAAAGTAATTAGGTAGTGTTTAATATGTAGATTTTGATAATTGCATCCCTATGAGTTGTTAAAGTTTTTTTCTAGTCCTTTTCTTTGCAGGTTGGTAGTCGGATATAGCTTGATCTGATTCAGGCTGGATTTTTCTTTTTGGCAAGACAGTTTCAGAAGTGATGATGTATTTGTTCTTCCATCAGGAAATGAGACTTCAAAAAATAGAGAAATCAATAATTCTTTATAAATTTATTAGCTGTATTTTTTTTATATAAAGAGAAGTTTCTCCTTATTTACTGCCCAGTTGTGCAGGCATGATTCTTTCATTTTATTTAAGTTTTCACAGTAATGAGTTGAACTAGTAGGATTTTAATTAATTTATTTTTTATCATTATGAACTCCATACTGTTGTTTTTCTTACTGAGGCACAAGATGGTTGGAGCTTCTCCATTTGGCTCTTGAGACATTTTGAAACATCTTTAATAATTTTTATTCACTCTTAATTCTAGGCGCGTCTTGTATATTTTGTGCCCCAACCTGAATGAGCCATTTTAACAAGGTACTTAGATTTCTTTTAGTTAAGAGACTACAATCTGGGCTGGGGTTGTGGCTCAGTGGCAGAGCGCTTGCCTCACTCATGTGAGGTCCTGGGTTCAATCCTCAGCACCACATAAAAATAAATAAACAAAATAAAGATATTGCATCCATGTATAACTAAAAAAATATTTTTAAAAGGGGGGGGACAATCTGCTAGAGGTACCAGGCTAACATTGTTCATAGGCTTTCTTTGGTCAAAGTGTGTGTGTGTGTGTGTGTGTGTGTATGTGTGTTTATAATGTAAAAGCATGGGCTCATGCTGATACTTTCCATTTCAATTCTGAGCTGTAGGCTTTTCACTTACCCTCTTCTGTCTTTTAGCTATGTCTACTTTTTCCCACCCCAAAAATACTCCTGCTTAAATCACAGCTGCTTTATGAAGGCATGGCCGTTACACTGTATAATATTGGGTAGGACTGTTCATATAATACTTAGTTACCTATATGTGCATTTGTTCACATGGAATTTGCTGTGTGTATGCATCCTATTGACTATCTCTCCTGTAGTTTTTTGTTGTTGTTGTTCTAATTGGTTATACACCTCCTATGTTGTAATGTAATATAATTACAAAGTAAAAATTTGTGAATGGAGCAGCTTGGAGAAAAACTGGCTCTTCTATCAGAATTCTTGATGTATAATGAGATTATTATAATCTCTTGGTTTATATTCCAGCTCCTCTTATCTTTAATTGTTTCCCTACAAATAAAATAATATATGTATATTTTTTTTCTTGTTTTTTTCTTATAGGATTTGCCAGAAACTATTCCTTACTTAAAAATTTGTACAGTTGGGCATCAAGTGCCTGATAACAACACTATTTTTAAATTCAAATGTGCTGTTAGTGGATTTTTGAAAGAAAATAAAGACAATGGTGAGTTTGTGTGTGKGKGGGGGGGAGTTATCTGATATGCATTTTTAATGGACTTGGAAGTTTTTGATATTTTTAATAGTTCTGATAATAGGCCCATTGTCTTTTATGGTGTTAAGGTGAAAATGTCAGATGGAGATAATAGATTAAGGGTTTTAAGTCCTTTTGTCTTCTATAATGGTTCTTTTGTCTTCTATATTGGTTAAGAGATATCTGAGAGTTACCTAAAAAAGACAACAAAAGGCAAAGTTAGCAGTGAAACAAAACAGAGCAGGCAAATGAAATTGTATCTTTGCTTTATATGTTTAAGCTATTTCTGATGTTTTTCCACTTTGAGAATTGTTGTACTTTTATCCAATATCAAAAGTGGAGGCTGGACTCATATGTAGCTCAGTGGTGAAACATTTGCCTATCATGTGTGAGGCCCCAAGTTTCATCCCCAGCACAGCAAAAAAAAAAAAAAATTTTTTTGAAGAAAGAGAATTTTTTAATATTTATTTTTCAGTTTTCGGTGGACACACATCTTTATTTTATTTTTATGTGGTGCTGAGTATCGAACCCAGTACCCCCTGCATGCCAGGAGAGTGCGTTACCACTTGAGCCACATCCCCAGCCCCAAAAATATTTTTTAAAAGGTGAAGGCATTCCATTTGTTTTATTCAAAAACAAATTTTATTCTTCTAGTCTGTTGGGATTTTTTTTTTTCACTTCCTTTTTCTATAACTAAATCGGTTACTGATATGTGCTCTATTTGGACCAATGAATTTGTCTCAGTACAAGTGTAGCTTTTAATACCTGGGATCAGATCTTCTACAGTTTACATCATTGATTTACATCGTGGAGTTATTTAAAATTTCCCCGAAACAGTGAATGTTGATTTTCTAGTAGACAATTTTTTATACTATATATATTTTTTAAAAAATTCCTTTTCAGGGTAGTGGTAATATTGTGGTATCTTTAAATGTTACTCTTCAATAATTGTATAACTTGTATCTATTTTAGTTACTTAACTGTTTTTCTTGTTTTATAGACAAACTTATTGGTGTCCACTGTACACATGGCTTAAACCGGACTGGTTACCTCATCTGCAGGTGAGTTGCCAACTCCAGAGGCAAACTGTGTTTAAGTTGTTTTTGTCTGATAACAATGGTAGTGTAAGTTTGTTGCAAGAAATGCAATCAGTATAAAAATGTGTAAAGTAGAAAGAAATATAGTCCCTCACCCAGAGATTACCATTATTAATAATTTAGTGTACATCTTTTTAAACTTCAAAAATGCAGATACAAGCATATATATATATATATATATATATATATATATATATATATTTTAGTTAGTTCATGGTATAATAGATGTTCTGTTTTATGGTTTAATATGTTGTAGAAAGTGCTTTGTGACCATATTCTTTTTAAAGGCTGCACTGTTTGTGTACTGATGAACATGAAAGTCATAAGTTTTTGATATTATAAAGCATTAAAATAGCAAACATTCATGTATGAGCATCTTTGAATATGTTTGTCATTGTCCCAGAGATAACTGATAGGCACTCAATTATAACTGATAGGGAATAGGTTTCCATGGAGAACTTTGAGCAAATATCAGAAGTTGAATTGGTACTGACCAGTTAGGGACACTGTGGAGAGAATAGTGGACATAAGAAGCAGCAAAGACCCTGTAACAAGATGACATTAACTGTGTTGGAGGAATCAGACCATGGGGTAAGTATAGTATTAAAATGGATCTGGAAGTATGGGTAGGAGCTAGATCATGCAGAGCTGGGTTTAAGGCTTTGTTTTATTTTAAGAACACAAGAAAACTATTAAACTTTTTTGTTGGGGGTGAGTGTGTAGAATATATTCAAATTTGTATTTTCAACTTTTCATTTTACTACTGAGTAAAGAATAAACTGCAGAAGAAAGGAGTCATGTTAGGAGGCTTTTATAGGAATTAAAGCATAGTAGTAGCTTGGACTGAAGTGTGGTAGTCATTTGGTGGAAAGGTGTGGTCATATTCTAGAGATATTTAGGTTACATCATTGTCAGTACTTGGTGGTGGGATGAAGATGAGAGTAAGGAAGAAATTGCTGAGATGATGGCATCTCCATTCTGGCCCAGACATTTCTTACAAAATATTTTTTGGATATGAGGTTAATATTTTTCCCTATTTGTTTTTTGCTTGTTGGTTCCTGATAAATTCTTTGTCAATCTAAGGAAGTCTTCTGTTTTTAGTGTACAAAGAATTTTGATCAAAAACAACTATTTAATTTTTCAGATACATTGTAAAGCATCTGTCAGTTTGGTCCCATATTTCCTTTCCTTTATTACTTAAATTATTATTATATCAATGTAAGTATTTTTATTAATAGATCTTCTAAAGTTGGGTCATCTTGCATTCTTGGAATAAGGTCTTTCGTGGTCATGGCATATCATTCTTTAATAATTATTGTTGGATTAGATGTGCTGATATTTTCTTTAAGATTTTTATGTCTCCATTTGTAAGTGAAATTGGACCTTTTTAAAAAAAACTTTTTTTCTTTTCGTATATATAAATGACCCAAATTATGTTGTTTATTGTTAGATATTTGATTGATGTAGAAGGCATGAGGCCAGATGATGCAATTGAATGTAAGTATGAGGGTTGTCACTATTTTTTCCTTTTCCATAAAAGTTAAAGGTAAAAATGTAGATGAATTTCTCAAATTTTGGGAAAAATAGTTCGTAATTCATTTGTTCCAATATAACAAATTCAAAAAAGAAAAAGAAGACTAACTTTTGGGGCTCAGTGGTAGAGTACCTGCTTAGCATGCTTGAGGCCCTGGGTTTGATCTCCAGCACCAAAAGAAAAAAGGAAAGAAAAACAAAACCCAAACAAGATAATCTTTTTCCAAAGTTTATAAAGGAATATATTTGGAAGTAGTGAGATACAACAGCCTAAATAATTAGTCAATGAATTTCAGCTTGGTTTACTTTCTCTTGGAAAGTTTTGTTGTCTCTACAATTATTTCTAACAGTTCATCCACTCCTCAGTATTCAATAGGTGCCGGGGACATTGCATAGAAAGACAAAACTACATTGAAGACCTTCAGAATGGTCCTGTCAGAAAGTAAGTCTTATATGTGAGATTTGTGGTTAGGGAGCTCTCTTTTGTATAATTCAAACTGTGTATATCCATCTTCTGGTAGCTTATTCACTTGCTGGGGGGAGCCTTATAAATAGGGATGGTCAGAGGAAGGAATTTTCATTTTTATAAGCCAAAATATTTAGTCACTTAATTTACTACCAAGTTTGGAAACCAGTAATATTGTATGGAAATGCTCTCTTTGAGGAATTGGAATTCTGGTGTATCCAGGTCAAGTGATTTTGAAGACTCAGCACATCTCATGGAATCAGTCCACACCTCTAACAAGTCTGGTAACCAAGGATCTAGGTATAACTTACATCGGACCTATGGTTATCCAATGCCTTCCCGGCGTTTTCACACCCAGTCCCCACACTTGCAGCAGCCATTCAGGTACCTCTGCTTTTCCTTTTTCTGAACCTAAAATAGAAATTATACTATAAATCATTGAAAATATGTTTTGATAATGATGAGCAGTTGATGTTTTCTTACTGATCATTGTAAACCAGAAGGTGTCATCTTGTTCTGTATTTTGGAAAATCAGATACTAAGTAGAGAAATAGGAAACTTCAGAGGCAGTTGGAAGGGAATTTAGACATTTTCATTGATTTGTAAACTTCAGTGTGATATGTCTACCAGAAAGAATCTTGCATTCTTAGACTACATGAATTGTGGTGTGGTTTTCAGAATAAGGAAAAAGAGTAAATACAAATTAAGTGAAAATAATAAAATAGCAATAGAAACATTTGCAAAGGATTTAAACAGATAAATCACAAAAATATTTCACTTTGGAAATGGGAAAAATTTCAGTTTGATTAAAATAGTCTATTGACTCTCCAAAAAGAGAGAACCAATAGGAGATACATACATACATACATACATACTTAAAGAGAGGCTTTATTAGGGAAATTGGTTCTTATTATTATGGAGGCTTCGAGATCCTACAACAGGCTTCTGAAAGCTAGAGACCTAAGGATGCCAAGTGAAAAAAACATCTGAACCAGGGAACCTGGTAATTCTCAGTCTTAGTCTTGACACCAAAGGCCTGAGAATCCATGGGTTTTGGACATGGGAAGGTAGGGGAAAGGGGTAACTACTCATGCAAGTCCTAGAGTCCAAGGGCTGGGACTCTTGGAGTTCTGATATGAAGAACAGGAGAAGAAGGGTATCCCAGTTCTAGGAATGAGGGCAAATTCACCTTTTCTTCTCTTTGATTGGGGTTTACCTACATTGAGGGAGGATCTCCTCACTCAGTCTTCCAACTCACACACCAGCCTTTTCCAAAAACACCTTCATAGACATATCTAGAAATAATGCTTTACCAGCTGTCTAGGTATTCCTTAATCAAGTTGATACCTGAAATYGACCATCCAAAAAGAGCAAAAGAGTATTATTCTTTCACTATTTTAGCAACAGTTTTTGATGAGCAACCCCATGGTTGTCAGGCTGGTCTTGGATTTGCATCTGGCTCTGCCATTCACCCAGTGTATGATCTTGGGTGAGATACTTAACCTCTCTAGAGTTCTCTTTATTTATCAGCCAAGTGAGATTTGAATAATACATGCCCCCATAGGCATTGTCAGTGATGACTACTTGAGTTAAAACAGTGTAGCACATTGTAAACACTTTGAAAAAAGATGTTGGCATTTTTTTTTWAAAGATGTAAATGTTTTTAAAAGATCTTGCTAGTGACAACCCTTTTGAAACACAATTTTAATGTCTATAACAATACTCATGGTGATTCCATGTTGAGACTAAGGAAATACTTCAAAATATGGAAAAGGCTATATTCTGTGATTCAACAACACATTTCCAAACTCCCTACTATGTCTCAGACACTGGGCTTGGTGCTCAAGCTACAGTAGTATAATATTGGGGATGTTAATACAAGAAATACTATAATAGTAAAGACTGGTGGTCTGAATTTCTAATAGTGGAGAATATAGCAGAATAGTTATATTCATACTATGACATTTTGTAAAACCATTGAAAATGATAGCTCACTTATAAGTAAAAACAATAGGTTATAATTCAAGAGTCAAAAAAAAGATGCAAATGGAAAAAGACCAAAAGGAAATATGAACCAGTTGAATTAGATGAAGTGGGATTAAGGGGGGTTTGTAGGTTTCATTTTTCTTTTATCCAATTTCCAAATTTTTGTAATTATATGTATTCTCTGATCTTGCTTTTGAAATTATTAAATCCTAATTAACCAAATTTGCATGTACCATGGCTAGAGTAATTTTTTATACTTTCTAATTAATTTATACTTACTTRTAAAGCAAAAGCACCTCCATTTCCATACTAAATAGCTTATTGTTTTATATTAACCCTGCCAGGCTTTTGGAGGGAACGGTAGAAAGACTCCTGGGAACCTGTCTGTGTTCCAGGGCATTGTAGGAAATTTAAATATATTGTCTTATTTTACCTTCATAATAACCTGGGAAGATACTATTAGCTCTGTTTTATAGAGAATTAGGAGACAGAATGATTTAAGTAATTTATCTGCCAAGGTGAAATAGGTAGCAAACAGAAGAATCAGAGTATCTATATATTATTTCATAAAGCTTATTATATGTTTCATTAATACTAATAATGGATTATTGCTTTTTGTTTAAGAAAATTTTCACAAAATCAGAATGTTTACCAGAGAAGCCATATCCCTCCTCCTGGCCCTGCTGGAGAGGACTATTCACAAAGGAGATACTTTTGGAATGTGAAGCCAAATGGCAGTCAAGCAGTCCAGGATAAGAGGTGGTATCCTGGCAGTTATCAGAGACTGTCCTATCCGACCTACTGGGGATGGACCGAGTGATACAAAACCTGTCCTGGATATCTCCCTGGAGATCAGAGCTGCGCTGAAGATAACTGGAGTGACTTAATAAAATCAGGTCAAATGAGGTTTTTCAGGTCAAATGAGGTTTTTGCTTGTTTTTTTTATTTTTTATTTTATATATATATCTATTTTATTGTTTCCTTTATATGTGTTCAAGCTTTTAAAGGAATTACATTAATATTTACCTTTTTGCTGATAAATTTACAGTAATTACAGCAATACCAAAACAAAACAACAACAACAAAAAAAAAAAAAACAGAACAAAACCTGTCATTCCAGTCTTAAAATTTTCTAAAGGAAGATGATATTTTAGAACTTAAGTATATTTCTCTTGCAAGTTATTTTTTAAAATAGTATCTTTTTTCTATGTATTTTCTTCTGACTAGACTTGTAACATAAGTTTGTGTATTTACAGAAATTTTTAGTGTTTTTGTCATGTTCTATTGACCTAGTCATAAGGGTATCTTTTTTCCATAATTCTTCAAAATTTCAATTAAAATTTACCTAGGAGAAAATTTCTTTAGAAGCTAGTCACTATCTGTAATTAATTGTGGTGTTTTTGTGATTATACATTTCTTTCTTTGGCAGTTTTTTTGTGGTATTTGACCAACTTCCTTTCACTGAATTGCCAGATATGCCATCTAACCCAGAGATGGATAAAATTTGAGAGATTGGTTAGCAGTTGGGTGAGAGAAACTGATTTGATAAACCAGAATGCTGGTTAATTAAATCAAATCATTATTTACCTGATAGGGTAAATGTCATGAATAGGGTAAAACTATCCAGAAAACTTAGAAACTTTATCGATTATAAAGGTTGACTGATGAACAAATGGGGTGTGACTATAAATTGCCTGGGATATCTGGCATGTTGATGTTATTGCTCCTCTGCTGAACATAACCCTCTGGGATGTTTTCTCCAGTTGCCTATCACTGGAGTGGTGCTTTACCTCAGGAACATGAAGGTAGATCATTTGGGAGAATGTTAATTATTTTTAGTGCAGAGGGAGCCAGAAACCTTTGCTTACCCAAGCCAAGTGTCTCATCATCCTCTCAATCAATATTTGATGAATACTTGGGCAACTTGGCTTCCTTTTTTAAAGCCTCTGGTTTTTAGGATTTCTGATACTGCATATGAGGGGTATTTTCTCTGTTCTCTCTTGTGTGTGAACAATCTGACTTTAAGGAAGTATTCTACTTCAGCTGTTCTTGCCTGTATCTGATTGGCTCAATCAGGGTACTCTATTTGATCTAAGTAATGGCTCATAAAGTTTTTCTCTGCTCTCCACATTTAACAGAGATACAAAAAGTCCTTCTTGCTACAAGCCTACTCTTATAGAATTGTTCCCCAGGATACATCCTGAAGGCTCACATTGGACGAAATTGGAGCAAGACAACTGTAAGGCAAAGCAGAATCAGCAGGGGTAGGTATGGGAATCCAGCTAGTCTCATAGTTGTGAAAAAGGCCTTGGCAAGCAGCTTCAAAGGAAAACACTCCCAGTAGAAAGGGCCATCATATAAGCTTTGCCTCCTTCAAAAATTTTTATTTATCATCCCTTTTGTATTCTCCCTTATTTTAGCTATCAGCATGGCTTGTTTTAAAAAAAAAAAAAAAAACTAATTAGGATTTGATATCTCCTGTTTCATTTATTCTGTAACACATTGGTTCTTGTTTCTGCTCATACCATTGAAAGGCTTCTGGCTAAAAGGACCAGCAGCCCCCTTTTAAAAAGGGCTTTCGTACTCTGTTCAGGCTTTTAAAATTTATGTTTTTATTTAAAAAGCACATTTTAAAACTCAGATAGCTCTACTGAGATTACTATGAAAAAGAACAGTCCTCTGCCCTGCCCCAATATTCTTTTCTCAGAAGCAACCACCTTAAGTATTTTCATGTTATCATCTGGTATTTGGTTCCATTATTTAAATAATATGACTATAGCCACTTCTTGATTTTTCAATTTGTGATACTATGGTAGATGAGGAGAATGCTTTTGCAGACCTTCTACCCATTCCACACATAAAACTTGTGGTTAAATCTGTTCTAAATTCATGTTACTAGGTAAATATTATTCCATGAGCCATAAGGTACCATAGTTACATTTCTTATAATCCCCTTTTCCCTGTCATTTTTGCTTCATTTTTTGCCTCTTTTCCTCTGGACCTATCACTAGTTCGTACCCCAAATCTCTAATAGCATTATAAAATATCTCAACATGGGTAAATTCATCAGATTCTTTTTCGTTTGAAATCTTCCCTGGAGCCCTCTTGGTCTGTTTCAGGTTAGGTTCTGTGTTTGTTTTCTAGAGCTACCATAACAAAATACTACAGACTGGGTAGCTTAAATTATAGAAATGTGTTTGCTAATAGTTCTGGAAACTAGAAAAGATAAAGATGTCAGCAGGGTTGATTTCTTTGAGGCTTTTCTTATCACTTTGTGGATGACTGGTTCTACCTGTGTCTTTGCATGGCCTTTCTTTTGTGTTTGTCAGTGCCCTAATCTCTCTCTCTCCAGTGGCTTTTTGTTGGTTTGGTTTGGTTTTTTGGTGGTGCTAGGGATTGAATCCAGGTCCTCACTTACTAGGGAGGTGCTGTACCTCTGAGCTACATCATCAGCCCTTTCCTCTTAAAAGGATGTCAGTCATGTTGGATGAGGGCCCATCCTAGCACCTCCCTTGAATTTACTTACCTGGTTAAAAGCTCTGTTTCCCAACTACAGTCACATCTCCAGATGTTGATAGTTAGAACTTCAACATAGGAATTTGGGGGGAACACAACTCTGTCCGGAACAACTCTGTCTCTAGACCTAGGCATAGCTCCTTCCCCGGAATTCCACTTCATCTTTACCCTGTTTATTTCTTAGGCCTCTCTTGTGTCTCCTGGATCCTGTAGCTGCTGCTTTCATGGTTTCCTTCCCTATTTGGTGGATTATATCCTTCAGTAGTCAATGGGATGTAATTTTTAAGTATTTTTTTTTTAGTTGTAGATGGACCCAATACTTTTATTTTATTTGTTTATTTTTATGTAGTGCCAGGAGTATAACCCAGTGCCTCACGCATGCTAGGAAAGCACTCGACCACTGAGCCCCAACCCTGGCCCCCAGGATGTAAATTTTTTGAAATTCTTTAGTGACAAATTGATTTATTTTTTTCTTCATTAATAGTTGAATTTGCTATAAAGTTGCAGGTGGGCACTTTTAAATGCATGTATACATTGTTCTGCATGTCATTGTTACTGTTGAATCCTGTAACTATTCTGATTCTGGAGCTTTTTTTTTTTTTCTTGAAGCTTTAAGGTCTTTATTTCAGGTGTCTTAATGTATTTTAAAATACATAATACTATATTTAGTGAGCCTTTCAATCTGGCAAGTTATGAGAAATTTTCATTTTTACGCTCTTCTGGGGGAACATCTAGTTGAATGTTGGATTTTCTGAAATGTACCTCTAAGTTAATTGTATATTTTTTCTCCTATTTTCTATTTTTAAGCCCTTTGCTTTTTTTAAAAAAATCTGCTGTTTTCTAAACACACACTTGTGTGTATGTAATTATATATTTTTAGGGTATTTTTTTATATGTGTATAATTTTAAAGAGATGGGGTCTTACTATGTTGCCCAGGCTGGCCCTGAATTACCAGGCTCAAGCAATCCTTTGCCTCAGCCTCCTTAGTAGCCAAGACTTTGGGCTTATTCTACTACCACCTCTAATACTTATTTCTAAGAACTAGCTCTTTTTTTTTAATGAATGTATTATCTTTTATCTCTTTAATGATACCTGTTTTTAAAGTTCCTTTTGATCTCCCCATCAACTTTCTTTTTTCCCTTGTTTGTGCCTCTGTTTCTCATGTTAGAGGTGTTCTTGAAATACCTGGTAACCCTATTTATTGGCCTGTCTGTATTTAAGATTGGGGCATTGAAACTGATGGAAGCTCTGTTTTCTCATAGTAATAAGGTGATTGGTCACTTTGTTTTCTGTTTACTTTCCCACTGCTGCACACATTTAGGTTTTATTTTTCTCCATTTTGATAGTATCATCTTTGAAAATTTTATTGCCATCTGTCGTCTATATTCATCATCTATCCCACTTTTTTGGGAATTTTTATCTTTAAATATACCTTTACTGTTATTTGGTGGGGTTTGAGTAGGGACTAGAGATAGCTATGAGACCCAGGATAATGAGAATTTAATCGCCAAATAAATTGCTGTAAGGGTTTATCCTCAGTTTGGTAAGCTTGAGTTTTTAAAAAAAATTTAGTGCATTGTGTCCCAGGAGTGCAGGCCATTGAGTTATGATTTGCAGGCCATTGAGTTATGATTTGGAGCCACAAACATTCCTACTATGGAAGGAGGCCCCATCTAGGATCCTATCTAAACCTTCTTTCCAGTGAAATTGCAATAACTGTCCCAGAATTATGTCCTGAAAATAGTTCAGTCATGTTATTCTCCTCTTGGAAATCTTGAATGGCTTATGGGCTTCAGATTCCATTTTTAGCTCCTTGTCAAGGCTTTCTTTATCTGACTGCAAGCTGACTTCTCAAAGCCTTTTACTATGTTCCACTCCATGTCTGTGTGCCAGCCATTTCATGGTACATTGCGTCATACACATGTATGCCACCATGTGCTTATTCTTCCAGGTTGTTCCCTTGGCTGTAGTCTCTGCCCTGTGGTTGCTGTGAGCCAGTCCTTCTCATTGTATAAGCTACATCTCTATAAAGTCTTTTCTCCCATCCCTGCCCACTAAGGGAAAGATCCCTTTTTCAACAACTTACCTTGTCATTTTATTTATGTCTTGTGCTATATGAAATACAGGTTCTAGGGCACCATCTCAGGCTTCCTCAACCCCTTCCTTCTCTGAAAGCACCGTCTGCCTCTGGGTCCACATTCCCCTTTTTTAAAAACCTTTGATACCAAATCTTATTGAGATCCCCAAGTTAACTAGAATCCAAGTTAGCTCTGGGCCTGCAAGGTCCTTCCAGCCCTGCACCTTGTATACTGTCTTCACAGATATGGCCCTACTTTAGAGGAAATGCTATACAATAGCTTTCTGGGCTGCCACTGAAGGGTGAGGTAATGATCCAGAAGTGTGGAGGAATCTGCTCCCTCTAGGGGTTCTTGATGAATGAAGTGTTGAGGACCAGAGGGAGCCTGCCCCTTCTTTTCCCTGCTKAACACTACTCTCAACCATGTTTCTGAGCCTTCCAGAGAAGGTCCGGCTTACTGAGTGAATACACATGCCAGACATCCTGCACGTCTTTCTGGCTCATTGTAAAGCAACGTTGCATCACATTGCTTAGCATTGCTTCTTGCTTCGCTTACCCTTTTCTTCACCCTTACCACTCTGTTTTTAAATACTGCAAATAAAATACCAGTGATTTAATCCTTGCCTCAGACTCTGCTTTCTAGAGGATCTCAGATAGTTGTTTAAATATCAACCACACACATATAAAAGTGGGAAGTGCCTGATAGCTCCTACTAATTTAACATTGAATTCTACAAATACTTACACCTTTTCTAAGAACATAGAGAGATGCCAGTTACATCTAAGTAACAGTAAACAGGAATTAAATTCATTTGGGGGTTTTAGTCACATGATACAGGATTAGTTTTTGGAATTTGGGTATTTCATGTGACCCATTTGTTCAGAGAACACTGCAAGATTTAGATGCTTTTTGTTTSCTTGCTTGCTTTTTGAGATAAGATCTCAGTAAGTTATCCAGATTGGCCTCAAACTCTCAATTCTGCCTAAATGTCTTAAGTATCTAGAATTATAGGTACATACCCCAGCCCCAGCTTAGTTTTTTGTGGTTGCAGRGGTTGGAGGAGAGAATGGGGAGTTAATTGTTTAATAGATACAGTTTCAGTTATACAAGAAAAAGTAAGAAGAGAGATTATGGTAATGTTTGTACAACATTATGAATTTATTTAATACCACTGAACTCTACACTTAAAAAATAGTTAAGATGGAAAATTTTGTGTTTTACCACAATTAAAAAAAATAGGGAAAATTGATGTAAATCTGCAGGTAACTAAAAATAGATACAGATTACATCAAAATTTAAAATTTTGATGCCACAAATGACATGACTAAGAAAGTAAAAAGCTAGGCACAGTGGCACACACCTGTAATTTCTAGTGATACAAGAGGCTAAAGCAGGAAGGTCACAAGTTCAAGGCCAGCCTAAGCAACTCAGTGAGATCCTGTCTCAAAATAGAAAATAAAAAGGGCTGAGGATGTGGCTCAGTGTTTTTAAGTGCCCCTGGGTTCAATCCTGGTGCCAAAAAAAGTAAAAAGACAAACCACATCATGGGAAAAACATTTTGTAAATCATATCTGATAAGGGACTTATATCTAGAACATAAAGAATTTCTACAACCCAATATTTAAAAGACAATATAAAAATGAATAAAGGATTAGAATAGATGCTTCTCTAAAGAAAATGTACATATAGCTAAAAAAAAATGAAGAAATACTGAGCATTATTAGTCATTAGGGAAACAATCTCAAAATAGCACTCCACTCCTACTAGCATGGTGTCATATTAAAAAGGACAATAGCAAGTATTCAAGCTTATGAAGAGTTCGACATAAGAAAAATATGAGTGCACACAGGAGAGAGTGCATAGACAAATGAATCTCAATTGTGTTCTGGGGGTAAGATGGTCTGCAGTGAGGCCACATGCTATAGGCGGRGAGCTGGAAGATTTCCCCTGAAGTTGGACTGGGGGCACGGATAGAGAAGTGAGGAAAACGATGGGTTCTTTAATCTTACCAAATCTGGAAGTGAAGGAGGCATTCCTGGCCTGTAAAGAAATTCTAGCACTGACACTCTGGGGAAACTGGGATCTTTTGGCAAGTTTTCTTCCCGGGTCAGAGAAAGCAAGTCATAAAAAGGGCAGCTCTCACCCACAAACCAGGTTCAATAGGTAAAACCAGAGGTGGGAAGTAGTCCAGATGAGGAGCCAGGAAAGGAAGAGCCAGGTTCTGATTTTAGTTTGGCCCCTTAGCAAGTTAGTCCTCTCTGGGGTATCAATTTCCTCTTCTAGAAAATGGGGACAGCTGGGTGCTTTGTAGAGAATCACTTGAGCTAAGGCAAGTGGAGGGGCCCAGCACAGTGCTAGACAGCAGTGGCCACTGTGGATGCAACCCCCAACCTGTTAGGTCTCAGTGCCTTCCTTGATGCCTGGATCCATGTGGCATATCATTCAGGATCCAGAGCTTGCTGGGCCTGGGTGCTGAGCAGGAGTGGTGGCCCACAGACACCAGCTTGGATTCATTTTAACACATGGTAAAAGTTACAAATATTTATGCAAGTACTTATGTAAATATTAGAGAACAAGGCTGATATTCTTCTGGAAGTTCTCATCTAATAAATTAGATCTTTTGAACCAACTTGCAAATGATGCATAATGATATCTCTTTCCTGTAGCTTTAGGCAAAGGGATCATGAAATGACTAAAAAACAACAACAAAACAAAAACACAGTAAGATTCATCCCTTTTTAGTATATAGTTCTATGAATTTTAAAAAAAAATGTTTTTTAGTTGTAGTTGGACACAATTCCTTTATTTTTATTTGTTTTTATTTTTATGTTTATTTTTATGTGGTGCTTAGGATCAAACCCAGCACCTCACACGTGCTAGGTGAGCGCTCTACCACTGAGCCACGACCTCAGCCCCATATAGTTCTATGAATTTTGAAAACTACATACCAGTTTTGAAAACTACATACCACCACTACAATCAAAATTAGAACAATTCCACTACTCCCTCAAAATTCCTTCACACCACTTTGCAGCAGTTGGCAATTGCTGATCTGTTTTCTGTTCCGATAGTTTTACCTTTTCTAGAATGTCATCTAGATGGAATATAGAGTAAGTAGCCTTTAGAATGGGGCTTCTTTTACTTAGCATTACTGCTTTTGAGATTCATCCATGTCATTGTATGGACATTGTATGTTCACTCCCTTTGGTGGACAAGTTAGTATTCCATTGTACAGATGTGCCACAATTTATAAAAAAAAAAAAAAWTAGTTGTAGATGGACACAATGCCTTTATTTATTTATTTTGGTGTGGTGCTGGGGATCGAACCCAGTGCCTCATGCGTGCCAGGCTAGCACTCTACTACTGAGTCACAACCCCAGCCCAATATGCCACAATTTTTTTATCCATTTGCCAGTTGAAGGATATTTGGATTGTTTTACAGTTTTTGAATTTTGAACAAAGGTTCCATTAACATTTTTTGCATGTTTTTATATGAATATCTTTATTTCTCTTGGAGTGAGACAGCTGTTGTGGAATAAGGGAATATTTATAAGAAACTACCAAACTTTTCCTAAGTGGCTGCATTATTTTGTATCCCCATCAACAAGGTTTGAGAGTTAAAATTTCTCACATCCTCATCAGTCCTTAGTGCTATTCCAATAAAAAGATGTAGTATAGGCTCCTTTAAAAAAACAGCTTTAGAGATAAAATTAATACAATATGCTGTACAAAATAGTTGATTCCTTTTATTGCTAACTTGTATTCCATTGTATGGATATATGACAACTTGTTTATCCATTCACTTAATGAACATGTGAATTATTTCCAGCCATTGATGGCTATAAACTTAGATGCTATGAACTATGAAATTCCAGCATTTAATTTTTTTATTTTTTAAATTCTTTTTAGATATACATGACAGAATATATTTTGACATATTATACATACATGGAGTATATGTACGTATAAAATCATTCTTGTGGTTTATATGATGTGGAGTTACACTGGTTGTGTATTCATATATGAACACAGGAAAGTTATGTCTGATTCATTCTACTGTCTTTCTTATTCCTAAACTGAGACTTTTAAAATACATTTTAAATCAATTTTATTTTACAATTTCTAGCCTATAAAATGTACTCTTTTTAAAAATATATTTTTAGATGGACCTTTATTTTATTCATTTATGTATATGTGGTGCTGAGAATTGAACCCAGTGCCTCACACATGCTAGGCAAGTGCTCTACCACTGAGCCACAACCTCAGCCCCTTAAATGTACTCTTTGCATAATTTGATGAATTTTTATAAAACTCATATACCCTTATAACACCACATCAAGACACAGCACATTGGCTTCAGCCTAAAGATTCCTCTAAAGGGAGAATCTCCCATTCCCTCATCCCAAAAACCATTAACTTGCTTTCAGTAACTCTAGGATAAATTTGTAATTCCTAGAGTTTTATAGAAATGGGATTCTATACTAATTTTAGTTTCTCACCATTAACATTCATCCATATTGGAAGTATCTGTAGTTTATTCCTTTTTATTACCGGTATTTTATTGTATAGATTTTTCACAATTTGTCCACCAATGTGTTGTGGGGCATTTATTGTTTCCAGTTTGTGGCTATTACAGCAATGTTGATATGAACATTCATGTACAACTAACAGGACAGTCCTCTAGATGGTCTGGAACCAAGGTAGTTTTCTACCCTTTCTCATTTCTGTTTCTCAATAACTAGAATCCCAGTGACTCTGGAAGCTGAGGCAGGAAGATTGCAAATTTGAGGTCAGACACAGCAACTTAGTGAGACTGTCTCAAAATATAAAATTACAAGAACTGGGGATGTAGCTTAGTAGTAAAGGACCCCTGGAGTCAATCCCCAGTTCTGGAAATAAGAGAGACAGACTAGAGTATGCTGGGAATGCAGCATCCGGTGACTAGCCAGATTAGAATGATTAGCCAGAACTGCCCAGGATTTGTTCCAGTCCCCCTGATTACAAAATGTCCTTCAATGCTTTAGACCAGTGTGTCATGTTGCCCCTTCCCTGGTGCCAGGAGTCGGGGTACAAGACCCAGGGCAGGCTGCTTTGAGGGAGTCTCTCAGCTATGGTGGAAGTAAGGCATGTGCAGACAAGATTCTATTTGCCCTAGCAGCTTTCTGAGTCTTAGGAGACCAGCTCAGGATGAATCCCAGGCTTCTGTGCTGCCTGCCTAGTTATTTTGTATGGGGGCGTTCTGTCCTACTGGACTTTTTGGTAACCAATGTAGACTTGATAGGGGACAGATAGATGAGCATTGTGAGAACATGAATAATTTTATAAAATAATTCTATAAAATGCATCCACTACACTGACCCCCCATGGGCTCTCTTTGCCAAAAAGCAATTCACCTGCAGCCCTGCCTGGCCTAAGTGGACAGGATATTGTCACATTCCTTAGCAAACTGAACAAAGGCCAGGCAGTCAGTGTAGGTAATGAATGATGAGGGTCCAAAGAATGACAACTGGTTATCAAAGAGCAATCAACTTCTGCCTCTGCACTCCTGCTCCCAGTCACAAGGGAAAGGAAGACAATGATTAAAGGGGCGGGTGGGGGTTCCTGGGGTCTATAAGAAAGCAAATTGTAAAAAGAAAAAAGAAAGAAAGTTGTATCCCCTCCCACAGGCAAGGTCACCCCCTCTTGGCAGGGAATCTATCTTCTATCACTGTCTTAAATAAAAATTGCTTGCTATGTTTGCCTTGGTATTTCTTGGGTATTTATTCTTCGACACAGGGGAACAAGAACCCATTCTGGATCCATCGCCAATAGACTGTATCACAGTGAAACTGCTTTCAAAACCAGCCTTTGCATGGATGTATTTTCATTTCTCGTAGGTAAACACCACAGAATAGAAATGTTGGTTATGCTAAGTTATATTTAACTTTTTTAAAGAAATTGAAATTTTCTCAAAACAGTTACATCATTTTACATTCAGAACAGCAACATATTCTAGTTCTACATCTATGACAACACCGTGTGTGTGGTAGTATCTTTTTGTTTTCCTTTTTATTGGTGCATTATAATTATACATAACAGTGGGATTTGTTACAATATATTCATACACGCGCACAATACAACAGTATAGCTTGATCAATTTAATTCCCCCACTACCTATCCTTTCCCTCGCCTCCTGCTCCTGATCTCCTCTTGTATTCTACTGGTCTCCTTCCTATTTTTTTTCTTTTAATTTGTTCTAATTAGTTACACATGGCAGTAGTTTTTAATTTGTATTTCTCCAAGGACAAATGATGCTGGGAAGCTTTTCATGTTTTTTGGCATTTTGTCTATTAAGTTATTTTTCTTATTGTTTTTTACATAATTTGGATGCCAATCTTGTCAGAATGAATTTAAAACGAAAACAGCACACACGTTTAAGACAAAACCGATACTCAACACCAGACCTAAGCTTCTGCCTCCGCCCAAAAAGACGGAGTACCACCCGTCCTCGCTGGTGTCGGCTAAAAGGATTCAGACTTGGGAGGAGGAGTCAGCGGCGGAACTAACAAGGCGATGACCGTGGGGATCCGGAAAGACGTGACGACCCCAGACTGACCTACCAGRAAACGGGCTCGGCGAGGGCCGGGATTGGGAGCACTTCCGGAAGTTGAGGGCTTTGTTTCCGAGGGGGAGATCTTTCCAGTCGGACGAGGACCAGTTGGTGAGTTTTGCTCGGTAGCGAGGGCGCCGAGTTGTTGGGGCTCGATCCCGGGGTATCTGTTCACAGTTGTCTTGGGACGATACTTGTGGTTCCCTCAGCCGATATTTAGTGCGAAACTACCAAAGTCAGCCCCTGGGAATGCAGCAGGAAAATGAGAGCCCTTCCCTTAAGAAATAAACTGATAGGGGAGTCGTAAACTGTTAGGCAACCAGCTAGTTCGGAGGCCGAGGCAGGACACCGTCTCAAAGACGCCGCCACTGCCGGGCGCACTTGCACTTGGTAATAAGAAGGAGCGCGTATGGTAGAGACCTAGACCCGGAGCTCTTGGCCCCCAAGCAGATGGACGGAGGAAAGGAAAAGGATTGAGGGGGAAAATATGGTGAAGGAAGAGAGGGAAACTGTTTAAATGCTTGGTGACTTGCCGGAAGCTGAGAAGAGGCCATTGTGGCGGTAGCAGAAGGTGGGAAGGAAACCGTGACATAAAGTTTGGGCATTAACATATCACCTGGGCACCATAACGACGGGATATTTTGAAAGGATCACTATGACTGGGAGTGGGGGTGAAGTTTGGATTATGGAAGTGCAGGGATTTTGATGAGACCACCCTTAGGGGCTACTGGTGTAGATAAGAGGTGGTGGCAATGGGAATGCAAGAGAAATAGACGGGTCAAAATTACGTTTAGGAGGTAAAATTTAAGGATTTTAAGGATTGGGTGCGGAATTTGAGTGAGAGGTATTTACCCCAGTCTGTATTCTGTTGCTAGTAACACAGTGCATCACATGGAGTAAGTTATAAAGAGAAGTGGTTTATTTTGGTTAACGATTCTGGTCCAAGGTCCAGGGTCTGCATTTGATGATGGTCTTGCTGATAAAAGTGTCACCTGGCAAGGGAGAGAGCACTTGAGGAGACTTAACCTAACTGGCTTTGAGATAAGACACCTGAGTGGGATAATCCATTTATGAGGATAAAGTTCAAATCATCTACTCAAGGTCCCACCTGGTCCCGCCCCTTTAATAATGGAAATTAAATTTCAACATGAGTTTCAGAGGTAACAAACCATTCTAGTTTCCAAGTATAATTAAGTTTCTGGATTAAGTAAGTAAACAAGAACAAACTATTTTGGGGTTTTCTTTTTCCCCCAGTACTAAGGATTGATCCTAAGGGCTCTTTCCACAGAGCTACATCCCCCAGTCCTTTTTTGTTTGTTTTGTTTTGAGACAGTGTCACTAAGTTGCTGATGCTGAACTTGAATTTGTGATCCTCCTGCCTCAGCCTCGGAAATAGGCAGGTGCCACCACCCCATTATTTTGAGGGTTTCCATGGGTTCTTTTACCCCTAGTATTAAAAATATTTAAAAATGTATGTATTTTCTCCTTGATTATAAGTACTTGTGTGCTTACTGTAGAAAATTCAGAACGTACACAACCAATTTTGTTTTCCAGAGAACAGAAAAATCACCTAATAATCTCAGTACCTAAGATGGTTGTATTTTCCTGACTCATTGGTGCATGCCTGGGATCCCAGCTTTGCTGGAGACTGAGGTGGGAGGATCACAAATTTGAGAGCAGCCTCAGCAACTTAGCCAGACCCTGTCTCAAGTCCCTAGGTTCAAGGTTCAATCCCCAGGACTGCAGGGGTAAAAAAAGACTGTCTTTGGTATGTCTCCTTCATGTCTTTTCTTATTTGGTGTGTATGTGTGTGTGTGGGGGGGGGGGTTACTGTGCATCTTCTTATATAATTGGGATCATACCAATTATTTTTCTGTTATCCATTTTTTTTCAGTAGACATTAGCATGACTAAATTGAAATTCTGTATGCCAGGACATTATTTACAAATATTCTTTTTTTTCTTTGTAACAAGAACAAAAATCAGATGTAATTCAGCAACTCAGAGAAAACTAACTTTTTGGTGTGCTTTCTTTATGTGTAGATTTTTAAAGGTGTTTTGTTTTTCCATTAAGGTGTTTTTATTTAATATTATTGTTGTTTGCATACATCATCAAGATTATAGTGGGTTTTTTTGTTGTTTGTTTTGTGGTGCTGGGGATCAAACCCAAGGCATTGTACATGCAAGACAAGCACTCTACCAACTGAGCTATCTCCCCAGTCCAAGATTGTAGTTTTTAATTGTCATTTACTTACAGTCAATCCTGCTGTTTGCTAAATAGATTGTTTTCAACTTTTCACTGTTAAGAGGGATATCTTACTATATAATCCTCAATTGTCCAATTAATTTATTGAGAAAGAGCCCTAGAAATGGAGTCTCCTGAGCAAAAGGATGAAATAAGCCTAGTAAATTGCTTCACCAGACTGTCATTAAAATTTTCCCTTCAAGGATATAATTAAAAAGATTTTTCTAGTTACTCAAGTTGTCTTTTATGCTTCTTATTCATTTATTTATTTCATGGTACTGGAGCTCAAACCCTGGGCCTGTGCATGTTAGACAAGTGTTCTACCCCTGAGCACATCCCTAGCTCCTATACTTTTATGTCTTTATATATACCCTGTCCTTTCCTGTTAACCTTATGTCTAAAAAAGGGACGGATATTATTGATTATTAATCATACCCTCTCTGTTAATTTCCATGTATGGATATTCATAGCTAGGGTCAAATGTGATACTTTATTCCTTAAAGTTATTAATATTTGTATCCAGGTCCTGCTAAAATACAAATAAAATAGATCAGAAAGTTAAAAAAGTGGAAGTAGTACCATTAGTATCCTGAGGTTCAGAAGTTCCTGGTATTCTGCCCCTAGTCTGCTGGGAAACAGCCTCTTAATCACATGTGCAAGCCTTTCATCTAGACAGGCAGAGAACCAACTAGCTCCCTTGGCCTTTTCCCAGGAGTGGAAAAAAGACTAGAAACAGCTCAGCAGGGTTAGGAAGCCATCTCACAAGGATGCCAAATGTGCTTTGGAGACAGATTTAACAGTTTTAACATTTTTTTATTTTTGGTATTGGTATTGAACCCACGGGTACTTTACCACTAAGCAACATCCTTAGTCCTTTTTATTTTTTATTTTGAGACAGGAGCTTGCTAAGTCACTGAGGCTAGCCTTGAACTTGTGATCCTCCTGCCTCAGCTTCCAGAGTCACTGGGATTACAGGCACCACTGCACTCAGTTCTATCATCTTTTAAAATTAATTTCATTTGTTAGCAAGGATATTTGTTAAGAAATGAGTTTTAATGTTAACTTTTAAATAAAAGAAATCTATTGGTCCTTTAGGTTTTGTGCATACAATCCTGTTTATCTATGAAATGCAGTTAACATATCAGCTGGACTTATTTCCTGAATGCAGAGTGACTCTTCTCTTATTTAAAGATGTAAAAAATGCTGGAGACTTGAGAAAAAAGGCCATGGAAGGCACCATTGATGGTGCATTGATAAATCCTTCAGTGGTAAGTACAAAGTGTGAGAATGARTGAAGGCATACCCAACATTTAAGAATATGTTAATTTTTTGACAATGTTATAGGTTAAAGCTAAAATTCTTTCATCTTTATGTACAAAGTTCTTGTCCAAGTAAGACTTGACCACCTTGAATTGAACAGTGAATGAAGACAGAAACACTGGGCCCTGCCCTAGGAAATAGGAAAGGTTGTGGTCCAGCTCTGATCACATTCGTGGTCTGGCAAATATTGGTCCCCAGCTTCTCATCTATGAGATGAGGGTTCTGAAGAAGGCAGTATCTGTGGAGGAGGAATAGCACAGTAGTTAAGAGTATGCACTGGGATCACATTACCAAGACTTAATCTGAGCTCTGCCACTTACTATGACTTTGAGCAAGTCATAGCCAAACCTTACATAGTGCTTACTCTTTTCCTAGCATAATTCTAAATGCTTTCTGACTCACTTAATCTTCAACAACCTTATGAAGTGAGTGTTGTTATTTTCTGCTTCTGACAGATAAAACACTATAAAGAACTTGCCTAACTAAGTTCCCCAAATGGTAAGTGACAGAGCTGGGATTCAACCCAGGTATTTTTTGCCCTCATTACCTCATCTATTATATAATGATTTCATTGAGTATTTTGAGGATTAAAGAAAATAATAGAGCTAAAATGTTTAGAATACAGCCTTTCTCATAGTAGCCTGTAATACGTTACTTTAAAAATGTTTACTCTTTGTCTAAATTTCTTACAACTTTAAAATTATAAGATTTTTTGACTGCCTKGACCTTGAGATAATAATTTTGAAAATATAATCCATATAATCCATAGGAATTGTCTTAAGAATTTATCTTATGAAGTAAAAATAAGAAAAAGCACCTGTTTTCATAATGTTCTAGATTCTCCCATGTAATTCTTGATATTCTTTTGGTAGATTGTTGATCCTTTTCAGATACTTGTGGCAGCAAATAAAGCAGTTCACCTCTACAAACTGGGAAAAATGAAGACGAGAACTCTGTCTACTGAAATTATTTTCAACCTTTCCCCAAACAACAATGTACGTGGAATTTACTGACTTCCTGTTGACACGTGTTGGGTCAGAGRCTAAATTCCTACAAACCAGTTTGCTACCAATAAACAAAAGTAATCATGAAGAGAGTTCTGGAGAGTTGAGATTTAGCACTGCCTCTTACTAGACAAATAAGCTCTGAAGTCAGTTTCTTTATGAGTAAAAAAAAAAAAATTAGCTAAATTAAGTGAGGCTAGTTTTATCTTTCCATCTTAACCATGTAGGGTCAGGAAAATCCCTTAAGTAGTTTGCTTAAGAAACTGACAGAAATACACATGATAAAACATTAGGCATAAATATTTTGTGTGTTCATGTACATCTTTCACTTTGTAAACTCCTTGAGGATAAATGCATATCTTTTTTATATATAGCACCAGGGCATTGCTGGTACCTAGAACAGCCCTTAATACATGTACATAGCCCATGAAAAAAATGACTGGAATTTTGCTGATGAAATTTTAATATTACTACTATTGTTAACAACACAATTAGGTACTAGTATCATCAAGAGAATAATTRGGAAGGCTATGACATGGCTTTAAATAGACAATTTCAAACTTTATAAAAGGCAGTTATCTCATTCTAGTACCTGGAAATATTTTTGCCAGGTAATCATTGTTTCTTAGAGAGTATTTGAAACAGTTCAAGATACCATTCCTGTTCCAGTTATAGTTCTAGGGGCAAAAGAAGCAAATAAGTTCCTGAGGAGAGGCAGGCGAGACAGAAGTTAAGATGTCATAGGTGGGGGGTGGCCTTGKAGCTGGACCCTGAAGCATGTGTTGATCAGACAAGCCATAGAGAGAAAGGTGATTGGACAAGGGACAAAGCATGTGCATCAGCAAAACAGTGTGAAACACAAACAGCTCCAGGGTGGCCAGAAGACAGGAATGTGTGGCTGCAGGGTCACTTAAGGCTGGAGGAATGGTGTTTGCATAACACAGTCTGGGCTGATTCCATGAGAACAAGGTGCAACTTTCAGCAGAAAGCTGACAGGTAGTAGCTGTAGATGCTAGAAAAGGATTATTGAAGGGAAAACTAGGATATGAAAAACAGGTAGAAGCTCACTGAGAAAAAGGCAGGTCAGATGTTTCAGGTATAGGAAAGACTGATTCCATTCCTGTTTTGTTTTTTTTTTTTGTTCCTTAGATTTCAGAGGCTTTGAAAAAATTTGGTATCTCAGCAGATAATACTTCAATTTTAATTGTTTACGTCGAAGAGGGAGAAAAACAAGTAAATCAAAAATACCTAATATCTCAAGTAGAAGGTGACCAGATTTCTCTGAAAAATCTTCCTGAAATAACGAATATTTCTGAAGTCAAGAAGGTTTGTAAATCCATATTTTTAGAGTGTGGTAAGTGAGGAATAATGCTGATGTGGTTTATTAATCACTAGTGCACCAGTTTTGGTTTTTTTTTTTTTTTTTAATTAGAGAAATGCTTCACTTGGGATTTAGGCCCAAGGTGTAGCACTTGCCTAGTGCATGTGTAGCCCTTAGTTCAACCCCCAGCGCCACAAAAAGAAAAGGAGAGGAAATGGTAATGAGTGTTTTTTAAAGTTGCTTGAAAAATAATTAAAGATAAAAAGGACTGGGAGGTATAGGTGTATGTAAAATAGAAATGTAGTTAATGAAATCATTTACAACTTCAAATAAGTAAGTAGATATCTTTAAGTATCAAGTTTATATAGTACATTTAGAATAAAATAAACATAATAAAGTTAATATCTCGATGTGTGCTTTTAAAAATGATAAATTTAGTTTATGTGCAGAGAATTTGGTTTTTAATGTTCATAATTGCACTTTAAAGGGACTATTTGATATGAATTATGATCTACTTTGAATATTTTAATTATATTTGTTTTGCAATTCAGACCATTAACCCAATAATTGATAATTTCACTTATAAATATTTGCATAACAATCCATGCATAAATAGATCAGTGAGTCATAATTTGTCTTTGATTTTTACAGATATATAAAGTGTCTTCGCAAGAAGAAAAGATTGGGACATTATTGGGTGGTATCATTAGTAGAATGTCCACAAAAGATGTTTTATAAAATGTTAGAAATATTAACAGAAATTTTCACCTTTAAATAAAACATTGATTTTTTTTCCTGATTATAAAATTAAAATATGTTCATAATAGAAAAAAATTTTTTTGAACCTAGGACCTTGTGCATGCTAGGTAAGTGCTCCACCACTGAGCTTCCTTCTAGCCCTATAATTTTTTTTTTAAATTACAGAATGAGATTTTAAAAAACCCTCATAATCCTATCATTTTTACTAATACTGTTATTATTCTTGTTGTCTTCTAGTCTTCTATTTGTATTCAAACATTTTATTTTTTATATAATGGAAATAAAAATTGCCAACACTTATTGAATGTCTACTGTGTACTAGGTTCTTACCTTAGTATTTTATTTCTGGGTTCTTTTGGTTTTTTTTTTTTTTTTTTTTTTTTGGTACCTAGCCCTTTTTATTTTGAGACAGCGTCTTGCTATGTTGCTGAGGCTGGCTTTGAATTTGTGATCTTCCTGCCTCAGCCTCCCAAGTTGCTGGGATTACAGGTGTGCGCCACTACAGCCAGAAAGGTAGAAATCAAATTATGTGCATAGGTAGCATTTCCTTCATGCCTACTGTACTCCAGATTCTGCATTTTCTGTGCACTATTTYGTTCAGTCTAATCCACAGCATTAAGATTTTTATAAGGAAGGAAATAGACTTATGTCTCTCAGTTGTTTATTTCAAAACAAATTTTCTGGGGCTGGGWTTGTAGCTCAGGGGTAGAGCTCTTGCCTCACATGTGTGAAGCACTGGGTTCAATCCTCACCATCATATAAAAATAAATAAATAAAGGCATGGTGTCCATCTACAACTAAAAAAATTAGATTAAATAAATAAAGCCTGGTATGTAATTAAAAAAAAACAACAAAATTTTTCCAACCTATAGAATAATTGAAAATAGGACAGTGAACATCTGTGTACCATTCACATGGATTCACCATTAATATTTGCTAGATTTGCTTGTTCTTGCTCCTGTCTATCTTCCTACGTACACACACACTCACACTTTGTTTTGCTAAGCTATTTGAAAGTAAGTTGCTGACATCATGGAACTTCACTCTATACTGTCTAATTGTCATGTCTCTTAAGTTTTCTTTAATCTGGAACAATCTTTTTTTTTAAACAAAGTAGGCATTTGAAAACTATACTAGATGTCTTGCCAGGTGTGGTGGCGCACGCCTGTAATCCCAGCATCTCGGGAGGCTGAGGCAGGAGGGTTGCAAGTTCAAAGCCAGCCTCAGCAACAACGAGGTACTAAGCATCTCAGTGAGACCCTGTCTCTAAATAAAATACAAAATAGGGCTGGGGATGTGGCTCTATGGTTGACTGCCCCTGAGTTCAATCCTGGTACCCGAAAAAAAAAGAAGTGACACATGTACTAGATGTCTTTCAGGATTCCATGCAATTGATTTATTCATGATTAGAGTCAGTTGAAATATTTTAGGAATTAATAGTATATAAATGATGATTGTGTCCTTCCATTTGCATCTCATCAGAGGCACATAAAGTCAGTTGGTCCCTCTTTGAGTGAGGCTAAGTTTGATCACTTGGTTAAGGTGATCTCTCCATTTTTAGGGCATCTTTTCCCCTGAAGCTTAGAGAGCTGAAGCTGCCCCAAATCTCAAAGTACTATAAGGGTCAGGATTAAAACTTGAATCTAGGTGACCTCACATCCTGAGTTCTGAATCTATCTCACTGCCTCTTCCCAGGCCGATACTCCCATTCTTTTAATTTGATGAGTAACATTCTGCATGTGCAGTCATTCTCCCAGTACAAATTTATATCATTTAAATTTTTACTTACTTTTGCAAACAAATCTTTGTCCATGTTTCCCGAAGTGGAAGTATTGGGGAAGAGGGTATAAACCTCTTAATGACTATTAATTTAATACCAGAACAGTGTCATTTTGCACCTCAAATAGCAGTGTCCAAACATGCCTGTCTCAGCAGTCTTGCAAGGGATGTCTTTTAACTTCTAAACATGTTTTTCATTTGGAGTGTTGTACTACTGGTAAAGTTGAACTCATGTGTTTATTAATTTGCATATTATGAAGATGGTTTGTAAAGGTTTTATATCTGTAACTATAGATAATGTTTTCAACTCCTTSTGAATCTTTGGATCAAGGAAAAACAAAAAGAGTAATGTTTCCTGGGAAAGAAGTTAACCTCCCCCAAATTTCTTAGAATAGTATTCARTCAATTTAGGCAGATGTTGTGTAAGGCCTATTCTATGAGCTATGCTAATTTGTTCCTCTTTAGTCAGCTGAGTTGCTAAGTCTGGCTAGGTGTTGAATGATAGGATGGATCTGGAACTTGTTCTTGATAGGGCAGCAGTGGCTCCTGATCTGGTCCCATCCCCTTGCCAAAGCTAACCCAGTTGGATTGAGACTTAATGGAGCATGGAGATGTCATCTGAGGTRGGGGATGTGTAATCCGAGGCAGTTTCCCATCTTCTGAGGCTGGGGGATGTAATCTATGCTCTGTTCTAAACAGTCTTTTCAATATTGAGCCAAGTTAAGAACCACATTCTTTATATTAACCTGGTAGGTCCAAAGTCTAAATGTTCCCTCAGCAAAAAAACAGCCTGTTATTAGAGGCTGAAAGAAAAAAAAAATGTAGTTTTGTAGGTTACATGTTTGTAGCTCCTTAACCAAGGGTTATACATTAAAGCAAAGCGGGAATCCTCCCATGTACTCTGGGAAAAGGTGGACAGGTGGCTCTGTGATGCAGGGGATCATTGTTTTTCCCTGTCTCCCCAGGCTTGGGAACAGTCAAGATATAACTCCTGTAGAAATGTCTTTAGTGCCCTTCCCATTCGAAACTGTAGGAACTGTTATAAGCCCAGAGTCATCTTTTGAAGAAGAGCCCAGGGCTGGGGCTGTAGCTCAGTGGCAGAGCACTTGCCTAGCACATGTGAGGCACTGGGTTCATTAAAAAATAAACAAAAGCATGCTATCCATCTACAACTATAAAACAAAACAAAACAAATGAAGAGCCCACTGGCTCACAGGCTGTAAGGCCTCCTGCTGCTAACCTGTTTCTGACTTAATTCCCCTCCTCAGCTGGGCCACATGTTGGCCTTGCAGCTGCTCCTCTGCCCTTGACTTTATTTTGCTGCTTGTAGTGTTACTCCACAATCATGGTCACAATGTGGAGTGACACCTAACCTAGGCTGTCCGCCCTCAGAATGAGCAAAGTTTGTGTTTATTAAGGGCCTAATCTTGACCTTTTCATAACCTCATGCACCTTCCTTTCCTCTTCCAGATCACTTCCTTTCCCCCACTCCTGTCTGGGAGACTGGCCTATCTATGTGTACTAACAAAGCAACAGGCCCAGGGCCCTCTGACTTCCACATGGGTTTGGCTTGTTGGGACTAGGGTGGGAGGGAGGAAGAATGYGTTTGGTAACTTTGTCCCTGGACCTCCTCTTGGATGGCTGCTCTATTCAACTCCGCCAGATTCCTAGTACCTCCTCCTTCCTGCTCAGACCTATGGGTAGTTCCTGTACCATGGTGGTTCCCCTCTCCCCACCTACAGTCGTAATTCCTCCTGTGGTTGTCTACATCTGCAAAATCTGCTCAAATTATCCTAATTTGAGCGTTGGGAACTGATACCTCTTCCTTAAGAATTTGTCAAATGTTAAGTTAGAGATCATCTCTTCTTTCTAGCACTGGAACCATTGTCATTGAATTCTGAACATCTTACCAAGGCTGACTTGATTTACTGTTATTTTGTTTCACTTGTGTCCTTCAAATTATGAGTTCTTGGTAGAAGTCAGGACACTCATCAGAGGTTGGGTTATTAAAATCTCTGATAAGAAACCAAAGGGGCTGATAGTCTTTTGGGGACCAAAGGTAAATGAGCCTGAATTGATTTTTTTCTTCTTCTCCAGACTTCCAAAGTGTAATGGCACTTTATTGACTACTTTTCATCTCACAAACTCATTTTTGGGCTGGGTTGGTCCAGTAGAAGAGTGTTCTTTATAGATATGAGTGGGAGATGTCATTGACAGGCTTCTCTCAAATGCCACAAAGTAACAGTGTACTTCTGAAATATAAAATTAACATTTTACAAGGTCATTATTTTTATTGCTTATTCCAAAATGAATAGCTTATTAGGAAAATCAGTAAAATAGCTTATCAGGATATTTATAACTAACAAGTTAAATGACATGGTAAATAAGTAACAAAGGGCAATGACACAAGTGCTTGAAAAGTCCCCAGACTAGGGAGTGTGTACCAGATTCATCTGATTGGGAGTGATCCTGAGTCTTGTTAGATCAGGCAGCATTCAGCTGGGTCTTGAATGTGGCCTTAGCAGCATTTTAGAATTTGGACAACCATGGCAACAGGTTGGGGGGGGGCGGGCATGATGGGGCTTGGAAGTGAATGTTGCATCCATCCCACCAGACAGAGCTGGTTCTCGCATATGGGACTTCAGGCTAATTCATAATGCAACAGACGGTTGTCAAATACCTGCCGATGGGGCCAGTCTTCTGTATTGGAGGGTTTGGTTGGTTGTTTGTCTGTTGTCATTGCGTTTTGCATTTAGGAATCAAATCCAAAGCCTCACATGTGGTAGGCAAGTGCTATACCACTGAGCTACATCCCTGGCCCAGAGCCTGCTGTATTGAGGAAGCAAAACAGAGCAGGCTTGAGTTCCCACTTCCCACATCAGCACTAAGTAGGATAATTTGGCTTTCTGAGCCTCATTTTCCCAGAAGAGGAACATGTTTTTCTCACAGTTGAGGCTGATAATAAAGTAATATAAACCTCATTGCTGGCAGGAAAGTAAAACAGTGCAGTCACTTGAAAAACAGTTTAGCATTTCCTCAAAATATTAAATATAGAATTACCATATGACTTAGAATTTCACCTCTAGGTGTAAGACACAAGAATTGAATACAGGTATTCACACAACTACTTCTGCACCAGTGTTCATAGCAGCGCCRTTTATATTATCCAAAAGGTAGAAACAACTCAATGCATAAAACAGTTAATAAATGAGTAAACAGATGTTATGTTTACATAAGAGAAATATTATTTG